AACTCCTTGGCCTGCTCTGTGGTGAGACCCTCATAGTCGTCCATCTCAGAGGTCCAGTAGTTGCCAAAACCGTCGGTCTCCAACCATTGGCCATAGTTGTCCTGGACATAGCCATGATATCCATCCATCTCCCAAGACCAGTAGATCTCCTCATCACCCTCGTCGATGTGCGTCTTGTCCGGAGGATGATATACTTCACGAGGTAGTGACTTTCCAACCCAGTGCACTTCTTGCACTGCCTCATCTTGTTGTTCATCCTGTAGTGCAAGTAGTCCCCAAGCTCCATCTTCCTCGACCCAAAACGTGCGTCGATGTCGATGAGCTTGTTGGCGGTGTAGATCACCATGTAGAAGTTCTTCTTCTTGGTCACGTAGGGCGTTCTCGATGTCGCGGTACTTCAAGGAGTTTTGGACTGAAGCCTGAACTGCAAGTCGTGCTGATGCTGGAAGGTTGGCTCGTCGAAGGAGCAGCCAGCCTAACAGCTCGTCGGGGAGCACCTCGATCTCCTCCATCTCCAGCTCATCCCAACGTAGTTCCTCATCAGACTCTTCTTCATCAGCTTCTTTGTCCTTTGTCTCCTTGAGCCACTCACGCCATTGTTCCGGCGTCCATCGGTTGCACCATGATGTCCAATCTTGGCCGTCACCTTCACCATCAGGATCGTCTTGAGGTACTGCATCATAATGGTGTCCGTCTCCACCTTCAGGTTGATCGGCTTGTTGAGGTTCTTCAGGACCAGGAACTCGTCCATGCGCAGGTGAGGACGTCGTTGGGCTCCGTCGTGCGCGTCCACCAGGACTTCCTGGTGACGCAGGCTCTGAATGCGGCTCAGATGCCGTCCGTCTCTCTGTCTTGGGCTCCACCTTGTCCTCCTTGGCAGGCTTTGCTCGGGCACGAGCTCGGATTAGAGAGCGTTGTACCTTGCGGTAGCTCTCCAAGAGCGTTGCACTCCATTGTGCAAACCCCATTCCAGGCGGTCGCCTGAGCTTGATGAGCAACTCCTCAAGCCTCGCACCAGCGTCAGGAACAGCTGTTTGACATAGTCTGGAGCGCAAGAACTCCAGGAGGTACTTCACGCCTGACCGGCTGCTGAGCTTTGCATAGTCCAGCTCTGCCGTCACGGTCCATGCTCGGCCAGTCAGCCTTGATGCCAACTCAGGAGCTAGTAGCTTCCGCTTGTGGGGCTCCGTCTTCTCATACTGAAGCCTCACTTTCCTGGTGTAGTCAGTCCACGTAGTTTGATCACCATCCCAGGTCACATAGATGTCCTTCGCCTGAAGCGTGGTCATGTTGTCAAAGTTCAGGACGTAGTGCTCGTCCAGCAGGAGGTTGTCCACGTAGAAGACCACGAAGCCAGGAAGTGGTTGTAGGCAAAGAAGAGCAAGAAGGATGGTCCCAAGCAGCCACCAGGAAGTGGTAGTCCAAGTAGAGGACGTCGTGGTTGCTGCGAGAGCGGGCACTGGTCGCCACGCTCCGCTACCAATGCAGAGACCAAACTGGTAGCCTAAGCTGTTTGTCTCGTTTTGTGTTGTAGCACTTCTCGATTTGTGCTGTGTCACCCTTGCTCACAGTGAAGAGCAGCAGCAGCGCCTTTTGTAGCGCTCGGTTGGCCACACAGGAGGCCAGTATGGCTCAGTAGCTTCGAGGCCTGGATAGGCCTATTGGCAAAAGGAATTCCTTGACATGGGCATTGGGCCGTAAAGTGGCCATAGGACATGTATTGTACAGTCATGAAACTTCCATGCCAAGGTAAACGGTGTGAAGGCAAATTAAGTCTTACCTGGGTTTCTTGCATACCGTACATACCCCATGTTCCACAATATATCGGCGATATCAAATAATAAACACATCCCAAATAGCTATTAACATCTATTACCCTCTGGTAAAGGTTTACACAACTATGGGAAATCACCACTGTAAAACACGGAAACTCACCAAATGGGCCATGGCTTCAATAACATTCAATAACGAGCTGTTAGTTTACCAGAGGGTAACCACACGTTGCGCGAGCCACCGGGAAACCGCACTTCCCACGCGACTCGCTGGACTCCATAATCGCCGCACCGGTACTGGTGGCCTAGGCGCGTCGAAAGACATGGTGGAAGAGTTTATGATTTATAGTCGATATAATAGATAAATATAGATATAGTAACCACATATATTTATATATATATATGTACTGTATTGAAAGTTCATCATAGATATAGATAAGTATGAGTGTGTGCAATAAGACATAAAAGGGATAGTGATAGAAATAGTAAAAGGAGCAATAGTACTGATCGCAGAATGACAATGATCTGTTATTGCACGGTTTTTCTCTTGCCAGGCATTCAGTCGCAAACAATCGCAACCCAAAAGAATGCTTCGGCACTTGGCATGGTCTCATACTATCCTTTGTTGCGCTGCCCAAAGAATGTTGTTGTTTTGAAAAGGGTCCCCATCATACTCTGTGTGGCTTCTCCGACTGTGAATGATTTCGTTTGACCAAAACAACCACTGCTGCCTAGGGAGTCCAACTCGACGCTAACCAATATTGATGGGTTCAGCGCTATCTGGCTGATGTAAGACTTGTCTGAGAGGGTCTGAATTTCGTGCACGTAAAATGTGTCCAGCCAACCTTGCTCGCCTGTCATCTAGTTCTTGTGAGAAAGGCTTTACTTTCCTGGTGGGCTAGGTACGTGTCAAAATTGTCAAAAATTCAAAATATAAGGCTTCGGATAACAAAATTGGACAGATCATTTCTAGATTGGACAGATGCCAAATGGGTACTGTGCATCTCCTTTGGATGAGCATCGAAGAACTGCAGTTCCCCACTAGAAATTGCCGATTGTCGCAGGACATCCCATACTAATCTGGTGGTATACCTACCCCTCTGAAAAATATTAGTCAGTTGGGATGATGAACTTTCCAATATATGGAAAGTCATAAAATTCCATGGTTCCAAACCACCAACCAGTAATGAACCATGACCATCCCATCAAAATTGCTCCAGGACCCGGGCGGCCGCATAGAAGCGCAAACCGCTTTCTGCAGCCTTCCACCACCTTGTCGGATCAAACATGCGCTGAGAGATATCTTCCACATTCTTCCACTATCCAACCAGATTTTTATCTTGGAATCCCATCTGTGGTGCATTCTTTATGGAGCTATGGTAGATATGTGGTTGTCGTCTTCTCTTTATCTCTGCCACACAAAAGGTGCTCGACACATGAGTGAAACAGTCGCTGAAATCACTGGCGGATTGGGCTTCAAACGCACGTCTCAAGTCATCGCAAGCAGCTGGGTCTCCTTGTGGTGCCAAGATGTGGCGACTGTTCGTGATCGAGGCTTGCTCCAATCATACAGTCCACCCGCTTGAACTAAACTGAGTTTGGATTTCCTCAAAAATGACAGGAACAAATAGAATAAGTAGGGTATCCCTTCCCGACTCTTCCTTTCAGCGCAAACATTCGAGCCTGCGACGCCGGGGGCGAGTCCAACCAAGGTCGCCTCAGACGGACTTAGAAAATTTGACATGTGTCACTCTGTGTCACCACCTGCCCATGTCTATGCCAACATCTCCCAAGCCCAAAAGAATCGCTTCACCATCTCCTGCCACTTGTCCCAAACTGCGACGCCCAGCGGCGGTCCAGATCCATCTTCGCCGCGTCCCTGGGTCCATCGGGCGCCACAGGCGCCATGGCAGGAGATTCTTTGCTCCCAGAAGATTGAATCTGGTGCACCCAAACTCTATCCATTTCTTGAGTTTCTTAGAGTTTCTTACTTCCAAGATCTAACGATCTGAGTCAAAAAAAGGCAGTTTGTTTATATCGTAACTCCACTGGCGAAAAAAAACGAGGTAATAACCTCCAAAGATCTGCAAGGTGACAGGCCAAAACAGGTGCTGAGCGGATGTGGTGAGCCCAGTCTTGGAGATTTGTTTGGCTGTTGACCTTAGGGGTCCTGACATGGTGAAGTCCATGTCTTTGGAAAAAGTCCATGGAAATCACCCAAAATCTGTATACATAGAAATTGTCCATCCTATTTGGGATTCTGGGATCAGCCATGGAGTTTTCTCTCTGAGTCCTGGCTTCTTGAAAAATCTTAGCAAGCCAAGGGCTACAAATGTCAAGCCAGGCGCCGCAAAGCTGATAACCAATCATCGGGGAAAAATGAGTCGGACATATATGGAGAACTAAACTGCTTGTAGTTACCCCTATCTTGGATTGTGTGTAGTACCAACAACAAAAAATCGAGGGAACTTAATATTGAGCAATCCCCATGCTAAGGCAGGGAAAGGATCGTTTTCTTGGCCGTGTCCGTTGAAAGCATCAGCACAGGCCTTTTGCTCATGACTCAAGGTCAGCTTAACATCTTGTGATGTCAGCTCTAAGCGGAACCTTTGCTCAACGGGTGGAAAGTGTATGCTCTAGTCAAGTCTACCCATCAGATTCCAAACAGTTTATGTTAGATTTCTGCTAATGTGGTTAATTAAAACAATAATAAACCATCCCTAAATCACCAGAAATGGGTGGTATAGACCATCAAACATGGGGTGGTTTATGGCATTGTTTTAACCACATTAAACCCAATACTTCAGGGTCCTCCCTGGGAATCTTCCCATGTCCGACCATCAGATTCCACCCATGGAACGCCGGGACGCCACGGAGCCTCCCTTTGGGACGCCAGGCCGCAGGGTGGTGCCATGTCCCATTGAACCCCCCCGAGAGCTGCCTCCTCAAATGGCCAACACATTCCATGGCCACAGAAAGATAAATCATCTACTTATGGTTATAATCATCTATGTTTCTATGGGCAAGGTTTCATGGTTATGTTACTACGTTAAACTAGCAGAGGGTACAGTAACTCAGCTCCAAGAATCTCTGAGCAACATCCTCAGGTTTGTTGATTTTTATCCTCATGTTTTCTACAAATTCTCCCCCAAATGTGCGGAAGGTCCAAGTGTTCCTGATCAACGTTCCCAGTTTTATTGCTTGTCCCAATGTTTTTAGGTTAATGTACCCCTCCAAAATGGTACATGTACCAAACCCTGCTTATTCTTATCACTAACGCCGCCCGTTCGCCAGCGGACGGCAAACACTTGCACGGGCAAGTTGTTGGAAACCTGCGCAGATTGACGGCGAAACGTACACAGCTCACAAGGCTGTCTCCAACACTCCAGGATGCCCCAACGACATCCGGTTTCCGTCACAGAGATCAGCATGGAGCATTTGGGTGAATTTGAATGGTGCCAAGTTGTGTGAAACATCCAAAATATCCAAATCAATAGTGAAAGCACTGTTCCCATGGCCTCCTTTGCATCTGCGCAACTAGGCTGAGCTCTTTTCCTGGACATGGCGACATGGATGATGTAGCTGTCAATGGCCATGCAGTTGAGGAGATGGGCATGAATAGTATAGGAACCCCCCAAAAAGATAGAAAAGTGGAGAACCCTAGAAATATGAAATAAATATCATCTATAACATCCTGGAAACACTTTCTATCTTTTTGGAGGTTGCTATAGATGCACGCACCCGAGTACTGGGAAGCCAGGAAGCCACATCCGAAGGTCACTGACTCATTCCCTCTTGCCAGAAGCGTTGGTTTCTTCAGAGGTCATAAGTCTACACTGCTGAAGGCGGAATCTTCTAAAAAACAATTATTCTACTGTGTTTCCATGCGACGTTGTCCATTTTGCTGGCTCAAGCGCATATGCTCAAAAGATTGCACTTCTCTGCATGTCCAAATGCACTACTCCCTGGACCCTGCCATGCAAGCATCTCAAAAATACTGTGACAGACCGAATGACACCTTCCCTTGAGACGGGTTCGCAGACATGGCTAACCATGAGCACCAGATATTTCCCCAAGAAAAGACTCTTGGATGTGAAGCCCAAAGATTGTAAGTGGTTGTTGTATGTTGTTGTCGATATAGTTCAATGGTGTCAATCTCATTTTACAAATGGATTATAGCGCCCCCAAACGAGATAGAAAAACAAAATCATACCATTATTGGTGAAATACATTTCTATCTTTTGGGGACTACTGTACTACTATTTATATATATATATATGTTGTTATGGCCGTTGATCTAAATTCCTTTATCTGCAAATGGCCATTCTTCGCGGTCAGCCCGCGGTGATCTTTTCGGCGGGGTCTCATGTGAAAAAATCGCACGCGAAATCTTCGCCCCTTTCTGAAGCCCTGGCTGCCTTTGCAATGATATCTCGAATCTCTATTGCTATATAATATATATATAGTATTGTATAATATGTATGTGTATACTGTGTATATATATAACCATCCTGAAGTAGATAGAATCTCTGGAATTTCAAAAAAAAAACGGTCTGAAAAAAACCTATAGATAGAATCCCAAAATGGCTCAAAAATCCGGGTCGATGATTGGTAAAAAAAAGGTCCCTCAAAAATGATCACAAAAGCGGTCATTTAGCTTGTGATTTGGTTGTTTGGGCCTTTGGAATGACTACCAAATGTTGTCATTATGCTGGTGTATTAGGTTCTGGCATGCGAATTTCAGCCCAAAATCTTCCAAAGAAATTGTCACTGTTGCTGGTGGTTCCCAGAAATATAGATCCTTTGGCAGTGGTATTCAATAGTCAAATCCAAGAAAGGAATGGGTGTGGGTCAAATTATCACACCCCAAAATTGATAGTTGATTTTTTAAGATGTGAAATTTTGAAATTGAGCTGGGGCCAAAGTTGACCCGTACCCATTTAGCTACAGTGTGCTCACCGGACCTCCTGGAGATTTTGAATTTGGACATCGATCAAAATCGGATACTTTAAAAAGTAATCTGTATAGAATTGGGTGTAATTGGGACAGAAGGTTTTGATCCATCCCCATATTCTTCTATATTCCTTCATATTCTATCTATGGTATCAACCACTGTGCTGACCCCTCCCTACTGCATTCTGCTAACAACGGCAGGTTTCCAAAAACCATTCCATGTGTTGTAGATTCTTTGGCAATGGTATTTTTGGTTCCCGGGATGCCCAAATAGTCAAACCCAATAAAGGAATGGGTGTGAGTCCAAATATCATCCCTACAAAATTGATAGTTGATTATTTAAGATGTGCAATTTTGTAATTGAGTTGGTGTGCTCACCGGACCTCCTGGAGATTTTGAATTTGGACATCGATCAAAACCAGCTACTTTAAAAAGTAATCTGTATAGAATTGGGTGTAATTGGGACAGAAGGTTTTGATCCATCCCCATATTCTTCTATATTCTTTCATATTCTATCTATGGTATCAACCACTGTGCTGACCCCTCCCTACTGCATTCTGCTAACAACGGCAGGTTTCCAAAAACCATTCCATGTGTTGTAGATTCTTTGGCAATGGTATTTTTGGTTCCCGGGATGCCCAAATAGTCAAACCCAATAAAGGAAAAAAAAAATAAAGGAATGGGTGTGGGTAAAATGATCACCCCTACAAAATTGATAATTGATAATTGAAGATGTGCAATTTTGTAATTGAGTTGGTGTGCTCACCGGACCTCCTGGAGATTTTGAATTCGAACGTAGATATAAACTGTTGGATAGTCAAACTCTATATAAGATCATGAACCAACAGTGGTTTTGAATACAGCCCAAAAGGTATTTTCAGAATCCATAAATTATAATACCACTTTGGATAATATATTGATATAGCACATGTTGTTAAATACCACTGGGTATAATCCAATTAAGAAAATTGTCTTTGACAACATGTGATTGTTTTTCCAACCGGGACCTTTTCAGGGATATTCTAACTATAGATCTTGCCAGGGGCTGACAACTCGGCTCCCCCGTAAAGGGAGCATAGCCAAAAAACGTGACGGGATTCCAGAATCCCGTCATCACCCCCCTATGTGGGGGACGCCCCGGAAAGCGACCGAGTGTGCTACTATAGTGTGTAAGGTGCACTCTGTGTGAAATATATGCTTTGTATGTGAATGATATCAAATATGTAGATATAATATGTATGGTGTTTACTATGATTGAAACATATGCTTTATATGTGAATGATATAAAATATGTAAATATAATATGTATGGTTGGATAGTCAAACTCTAGATAGAATATCCTCTAGATCCATGAAAAGACTGAATTTTTAAAGGATGCTTGGAATTAAGCATGTATTTGTGGTGCTCCCTGCCCCTTCCTCCACATCTACCCATCCAAAGTTCATTCTTGGAGCTGTTTGAAAGCAAGCTTTAAAAGGAAAATGGCATTAAAAAAAAAGGAATCCGAGATCTCACCATCCAAAGTTGAAATTGCAGGTTTTGAAAAGAAACCACAAAAGGAAAATGGGATGAGAAAAGAAATAATCCACGATCTTACCATTCAAAGTTCAATCTTGCAGGTTTTTGAAAAGAAAGCTGCGAAAGGAAAAGGAGATGAGAAAAGTACAGAAAAGTAGGAATCCAAGATCGACCATCCAAAGTTCATTTGTGCTAGTGCTGTGCTAGGACAGTTGGGCAAAACTATAGATAGAATATCCTCTAGAACCATGAAAAGACTGAATTTTTAAAGGATGCTTGGAGTTGAGCATGTATTTGTGGTGTTCCCTGCCCCTTCCTCCACATCTACCCATCCAAAGTTCATTCTTGGAGCTGTTTGAAAGCAAGCTTTAAAAGGAAAATGGCATTAAAAAAGTAGGAATCCAAGATCTTACCATCCAAAGTTGAAATTGCAGGTTTTTGAAAAGAAGCAACAAAAGGAAAATGGGATGAGAAAAGAAGAAATCCACGATCTTACCATTCAAAGTTCAGTCTTGCAGGTTTTTGAATAGAAAGCCGTGAAAGGAAAAGGAGATGAGAAAAGTACAGAAAAGTAGGAATCCAAGATCGACCATCCAAAGTTCATTTGTGCTAGTACTGTGCTAGGACAGTTGGGCAAAACTATAGATAGAATATCCTCTAGAACCATGAAAAGACTGAATTTTTAAAGGATGTTTGGGATTAAGCATGTATTTGTGGTGCTCCCTGCCCCTTCCTCCACATCTACCCATCCAAAGTTCATTCTTGGAGCTGTTTGAAAGCAAGCTTTAAAAGGAAAATGGCATTAAAAAAGTAGGAATCCAAGATCTCACCATCCAAAGTTGAAATTGCAGGTTTTTGAAAAGAAGCAACAAAAGGAAAATGGGATGAGAAAAGAAGGAATCCACGATCTTACCATTTAAAGTTCAGTCTTGCAGGTTTTTGAATAGAAAGCTGTGAAAGGAAAAGGAGATGAGAAAAGTATAGAAAAGTAGGAATCCAAGATCGACCATCCAAAGTTCATTTGTGCTAGTGCTGTGCTAGGACAGTTGGGCAAAACTATAGATAGAATATCCTCTAGAACCATGAAAAGACTGAATTTTTAAAGGATGCTTGGAGTTGAGCATGTATTTGTGGTGTTCCCTGCCCCTTCCTCCACATCTACCCATCCAAAGTTCATTCTTGGAGCTGTTTGAAAGCAAGCTTTAAAAGGAAAATGGCATTAAAAAAGTAGGAATCCAAGATCTCACCATCCAAAGTTGAAATTGCAGGTTTTTGAAAAGAAACCACAAAAGGAAAATGGGATGAGAAAAGAAAATCCACGATCTTACCATTCAAAGTTCAGTCTTGCAGGTTTTTGAAAAGAAAGCTGCGAAAGGAAAAGGAGATGAGAAAAGTATAGAAAAGTAGGAATCCAAGATCGACCATCCAAAGTTCATTTTTGCTAGTGCTGTGCTAGGACAGTTGGGCAAAACTATAGATAGAATATCCTCTAGAACCATGAAAAGACTGAATTTTTAAAGGATGCTTGGGATTAAGCATGTATTTGTGGTGCTCCCTGCCCCTTCCTCCACATCTACCCATCCAAAGTTCATTCTTGGAGCTGTTTGAAAGCAAGCTTTAAAAGGAAAATGGCATTAAAAAGTAGGAATCCAAGATCTTACCATCCAAAGTTGAAATTGCAGGTTTTTGAAAAGAAACAACAAAAGGAAAATGGGATGAGAAAAGAAGGAATCCACGATCTTACCATTCAAAGTTCAGTCTTGCAGGTTTTTGAATAGAAAGCTGTGAAAGGAAAAGGAGATGAGAAAAGTATAGAAAGTAGGAATCCAAGATCGACCATCCAAAGTTCATTTGTGCTAGTACTGTGCTAGGACAGTTGGGCAAAACTATAGATAGAATATCCTCTAGAACCATGAAAAGACTGAATTTTTAAAGGATGTTTGGGATTAAGATTAAGCATGTATTTGTGGTGCTCCCTGCCCCTTCCTCCACATCTACCCATCCAAAGTTCATTCTTGGAGCTGTTTGAAAGCAAGCTTTAAAAGGAAAATGGCATTAAAAAAGTAGGAATCCAAGATCTTACCATCCAAAGTTGAAATTGCAGGTTTTTGAAAAGAAGCAAAAAGGAAAATGGGATGAGAAAAGAAGAAATCCACGATCTTACCATTCAAAGTTCAGTCTTGCAGGTTTTTGAATAGAAAGCTGTGAAAGGAAAAGGAGATGAGAAAAGTATAGAAAAGTAGGAATCCAAGATCGACCATCCAAAGTTCATTTGTGCTAGTGCTGTGCTAGGACAGTTGGGCAAAACTATAGATAGAATATCCTCTAGAACCATGAAAAGACTGAATTTTTAAAGGATGCTTGGAGTTGAGCATGTATTTGTGGTGTTCCCTGCCCCTTCCTCCACATCTACCCATCCAAAGTTCATTCTTGGAGCTGTTTGAAAGCAAACTTTAAAAGGAAAATGGCATTAAAAAAGTAGGAATCCAGGATCTTACCATCCAAAGTTGAAATTGCAGGTTTTTGAAAAGAAGCAACAAAAGGAAAATGGGATGAGAAAAGAAGAAATCCACGATCTTACCATTCAAAGTTCAGTCTTGCAGGTTTTTGAATAGAAAGCCGTGAAAGGAAAAGGAGATGAGAAAAGTACAGAAAAGTAGGAATCCAAGATCGACCATCCAAAGTTCATTTGTGCTAGTACTGTGCTAGGACAGTTGGGCAAAACTATAGATAGAATATCCTCTAGAACCATGAAAAGACTGAATTTTTAAAGGATGTTTGGGATTAAGCATGTATTTGTGGTGCTCCCTGCCCCTTCCTCCACATCTACCCATCCAAAGTTCATTCTTGGAGCTGTTTGAAAGCAAACTTTAAAAGGAAAATGGCATCTAAAAAGTAGGAATCCAAGATCTTACCATCCAAAGTTGAAATTGCAGGTTTTTGAAAAGAAGCAACAAAAAGAAAATGGGATGAGAAAAGAAGGAATCCACGATCTTACCATTCAAAGTTCAGTCTTGCAGGTTTTTGAATAGAAAGCTGTGAAAGGAAAAGGAGATGAGAAAAGTATAGAAAAGTAGGAATCCAAGATCGACCATCCAAAGTTCATTTTTGCTAGTGCTGTGCTAGGACAGTTGGGCAAAACTATAGATAGAATATCCTCTAGAACCATGAAAAGACTGAATTTTTAAAGGATGCTTGGAGTTGAGCATGTATTTGTGGTGTTCCCTGCCCCTTCCTCCACATCTACCCATCCAAAGTTCATTCTTGGAGCTGTTTGAAAGCACACTTTAAAAGGAAAATGGCATTAAAAAAGTAGGAATCCAAGATCTTACCATCCAAAGTTGAAATTGCAGGTTTTTGAAAAGAAACCACAAAAGGAAAATGGGATGAGAAAAGAAGGAATCCACGATCTTACCATTCAAAGTTCAGTCTTGCAGGTTTTTGAATAGAAAGCTGTGAAAGGAAAAGGAGACGAGAAAAGTATAGAAAAGTAGGAATCCAAGATCGACCATCCAAAGTTCATTTTTGCTAGTGCTGTGCTAGGACAGTTGGGCAAAACTATAGATAGAATATCCTCTAGAACCATGAAAAGACTGAATTTTTAAAGGATGCTTGGAGTTGAGCATGTATTTGTGGTGTTCCCTGCCCCTTCCTCCACATCTACCCATCCAAAGTTCATTCTTGGAGCTGTTTGAAAGCAAACTTTAAAAGGAAAATGGCATTAAAAAAGTAGGAATCCAAGATCTTACCATCCAAAGTTGAAATTGCAGGTTTTTGAAAAGAAGCAACAAAAGGAAAATGGGATGAGAAAAGAAGAAATCCACGATCTTACCATTCAAAGTTCAGTCTTGCAGGTTTTTGAATAGAAAGCCGTGAAAGGAAAAGGAGATGAGAAAAGTATAGAAAAGTAGGAATCCAAGATCGACCATCCAAAGTTCATTTGTGCTAGTGCTGTGCTAGGACAGTTGGGCAAAACTATAGATAGAATATCCTCTAGAACCATGAAAAGACTGAATTTTTAAAGGATGTTTGGGATTAAGCATGTATTTGTGGTGTTCCCTGCCCCTTCCTCCACATCTACCCATCCAAAGTTCATTCTTGGAGCGAAAGCTTTAAAAGGAAAATGGCATCTAAAAAGTAGGAATCCAAGATCTTACCATCCAAAGTTGAAATTGCAGGTTTTTGAAAAGAAGCAACAAAAAGAAAATGGGATGAGAAAAGAAGAAATCCACGATCTTACCATTCAAAGTTCAGTCTTGCAGGTTTTTGAATAGAAAGCCGTGAAAGGAAAAGGAGATGAGAAAAGTACAGAAAAGTAGGAATCCAAGATCGACCATCCAAAGTTCATTTGTGCTAGTACTGTGCTAGGACAGTTGGGCAAAACTATAGATAGAATATCCTCTAGAACCATGAAAAGACTGAATTTTTAAAGGATGTTTGGGATTAAGCATGTATTTGTGGTGCTCCCTGCCCCTTCCTCCACATCTACCCATCCAAAGTTCATTCTTGGAGCTGTTTGAAAGCAAACTTTAAAAGGAAAATGGCATCTAAAAAGTAGGAATCCAAGATCTTACCATCCAAAGTTGAAATTGCAGGTTTTTGAAAAGAAGCAACAAAAAGGAAAATGGGATGAGAAAAGAAGGAATCCACGATCTTACCATTCAAAGTTCAGTCTTGCAGGTTTTTGAATAGAAAGCCGTGAAAGGAAAAGGAGATGAGAAAAGTATAGAAAAGTAGGAATCCAAGATCGAGCATCCAAAGTTCATAATTGAAGGTTTTTGAATGGAAAACTGTGTTTGAAAGGAAGAGTGCATGAGAAAAGTAGGAATAGCTGATCTTACCATCCAAAGTTCATTCTCGCAGCTGTTTGAAAAGGAAACTTGGAAGGAAAATGGAAGGAAACAAATTGGAATGCACGATCTTACCATCCAAAGTTCATAATTGAAGGTTTTTGAATGGAAAACTGTGACAGGAAAAGGACATGAGAAAAGCAGGAATCAAACTTTGAAAGGAACATGGCATGAGAAAAGCTGGAATCCACGATCTTACCATCCAAAGTTCACAATTACAGATTTTTGAAGGGAAAAGTGTGAAAGGAAAAGGAAATGAAAAAAGTAGGAATCTACGTCTACGATCTTACCATCCAAAGTTCATTTTTTGCAGCTGTTTGAAAAGGAAAATTTGAAAGAAAAAAATAAATTGGAAGGTTTTGAAAAGGAAAGGAAAAAAAAACACATTTTGAGCATCCTGGAGTAGATTTTGGAATATTCTATCTAGGGGGTCCGAATATATAGTTTAGTATTGGGTCAAAAAACCCTGGGTTTTTTCAAAAAAAAAAACGCCCCCTACGATACGGGATTCTATCTACTCCAGGATTGTTATATATATATGTGTGTGTGTTTAATATGACTCTAGTATGACTCTAATATTGTACGGCCATGGTTATCGCTGGAACTGCCCCATCCCACTGAGGGGCCAAACTTCGATCAGCTTCTTGATCTGAAAATCATAGGCTAAACGATACCTCGGCGCGGTAATACCTGGTAGCTGAGGTCTGCAAGACATCGAACACATGTATGTATAATGTACGTGTAGAAATTTATACAAGTTACTAGCTATCACGCAAAAGTACGGACACACATATATATATATTATAAATATATACATGCTCTGTTGCTATCTTTTGTACTGAAACGGAGATTTCCAGAAATTCTCTTCTCGCTAGTCAAGCAATCTGCTAATCCTCCATCTGCCAATCACTGGACGGGCCATTTCTGGATCTCCCATTTGGAAATGCCAAGGTCAATACCCTCTGGTAATTTAACATAGCTATTGAAATTTGCCATGTTCAATAGCTATGTTAAATTACCAGAGGGTACCCAAAATTCCCAAAATGCAGTGTACTAAAGAAGTCCCAAGCATAAACTTCTTCACGTGAGTGGATAAAGATCTTACTAAATCGCAGGACCGCAGTGATAACCCGTGAATCACAGTCGAGCCACATTCGCGCTTTCCGCAAGTTCCATCGCTTTTGCCGCCGTGTTGCAACACCTGCCGTTCGCTTTATCAAAGTTTCAGGCTGTTCTGCCCCTTCCATCTTTTATGATTTTTATGCTTGGCCCATGAGCACATGGAACTGAGAAGTCCCAGTCATTCACAACTCAGTGCGCAGAGGGAAACATCAATACACCAGTCCACCTCATCAAGATCGACCAAACAATTATAAAACTGCAGACTTGTCTACCCACCAATCCCTGGTTCATCTGGTTCACAGATTTCGCTCAACCTTTGAACAGCTGAAGACATCAGCTGAGCTCAAGCCATGCCAGTTGGACGGGCCGACCCATTGGCTGCGGGCGCTGGGACCCCCGGGACAGCACCCGCATCACCCGCCCCCTCTGCCATCGTTGCGGTTGCCGTGGCATCGACATCGGCGGCACGCTGCTCCAAGCCCCGCTGAGCCGCCTGGATCCTGGGTAAGGGATTGGCTTGGGCCTCATGATCCGAAACCATCCGAAACCCATGAATTGCAGCGTACATGTCAGTTTCCTGGGGAAACACCCATGGTCATCCATGGTCTACAATCGGTGGAGTGTTAAATTGACAGTTTTGGAATTCAGGAAGCTTGTAATTATATATACAATCAGCTTGCACCGCATTTTTCCCACGACTTGTGTAAGTCAATTTCAACCTGAAATCCACCCACAACGTCCATTCTACTAAGGGAGAGCCTGCAATGCGTGCATTCTTTCACCTGTCAGGGGTATTCCCACCCAACCTGACGCATCGCTACCCAGGCACTTCTTAAGAGCCTCCTCCTGTTCAGGTGTCAGCTCGGGTCCTGACAACTCCATTCCATGAGGGGAATGTCAACCCAGGACTAATACCATCTGGTTATGACTAACATAGGCACGGAAAGATCCACCATTTTTAATAGGCCAGGTAAACGGTAAACCATCTATAAATGGGCCATGGCTTCCATGGCTATGTTGAATAACCAGAGGGTCACCATGAGCAGATCAGGGGTACCCCCTACTTGATCAGCCTGTGGGCTATCAATCTGACCTTGCACACAATCCGAAGAGAACTACTGTACAACGAAACCAAATGCCACCTAGTCGGCACTTTCAAGTTGCCTTCAGAATGGAACATCGGTGGTTCTTGAACCAGCCTGGTCGTATCAGAGACCAACTTCTGGTGGCAGCAGGAAGCACGACAAGCGAAGAAGTCTCTGTCGCGATTTACCGCTGTGTTGCTGCACCAGCGATGTTGCATCACGGGTCCCTGTACCAAGCATTTCTCCGCCCAAACAGGTGAAAGCAATGCCACACAGGCTACTTGTTCTCCCTGGCTGCAGCTGCACAAACCTGCATGGTGCAAACAAACACCATGCTCCTTCACATACACTTGCTGCTACCATGGTTTCTGCACCACAGGTCCCCGCACCAAGCACATCGACCAAGCCGGGTAATACGGATGCATCACAGCCACAATCCACTTGTCCGATGATGCTGACTGATTTCTACTAAGTTCATTTAAGCTTTCCGTTCCTCCAACACACTTTCAAGACCCATTTGAAAGAACTATACACATTTCATCAAGCACTATTCTGCCCTGGCTGCAGCTACATAAACCTGCATGGTGCAAACAAACACCATGCTCCTTCACATACACGTGCTGCTACCATGGTTTATGCACCACAGGTCCCCGCACCAAGCACATCGACCAAGCCGGGTAATACGGATGCATCATGATGCATCACAGCCACAATCATTTTGTCCTGTGATGCTGACTGATTTCTACTAGGTTCATTTAAGCTTTCCGTTCCTCCAACACACTTTCAAGACCCATTTGAAAGAACTATACTCGTTTCATCAAGCAATACTCTGTCCTGGCTGCAGCTACACAAACCTGCATGGTGCAGACAAACACCATGCTCCTTCACATACACTTGCTGCTACCATGGTTTCTGCACCACAGGTCCCCGCACCAAGCACATCGACCAAGCCGGGTAATACGGATGCATCACAGCCACAATCATCTTGTCCTGTGATGCTGACTGATTTTTACCAAGCTTATCGAAGCTTTCCGCTCCTCCAACACACTTTCAAGACCCATTTGAAAGAACTATTCAGATTTCATCAAGCAATATTCTGCCCTGGCTGCAGCTGCACAAACCTGCATGGTGCAAACAAACACCATGCTCCTTCACATACACGTGCTGCTACCATGGTTTATGCACCACAGGTCCCCGCACCAAGCACATCGACCAAGCCGGGTAATACGGATGCATCACAGCCACAATCCACTTGTCCGGTGATGCTGACTGATTTCTACATTCTAAGTTCATTTAAGCTTTCCGTTCCTCCGACACACTTTCAAGACCCATTTGAAAGAACTATACATGTAATCAAGCAATATTCTGCCCTGGCTGCAGCTACACAAACCTGCATGGTGCAGACAAACACCATGCTCCTTCACATACACGTGCTGCTACCATGGTTTCTGCACCACAGGTCCCCGCACCAAGCACATCGACCAAGCCGGGTAATACGGATGCATCACAGCCACAATCCGCTTGTCCGGTGATGCTGACTGATTTCTACTAAGTTCATTTAAGCTTTCCGTTCCTCCAACACACTTTCAAGACCCATTTGAAAGAACTATACTCATTTCATCAAGCAATATTCTGCCCTGGCTGCAGCTACACAAACCTGCATGCTGCAGACAAACACCATGCTCCTTCACATACACGTGCTGCTATAATGGTTTATGCACCACAGGTCCCCGCACCAAGCACATCGACCAAGCCGGGTAATACGGATGCATCAAAGCACAATCCACTTGTCCGGTGATGCTGACTGATTTCTACTAAGTTCATTTAAGCTTTCCGTTCCTCCAACGCACTTTCAAGACCCATTTGAAAGAACTATACACATTTCATCAAGCAATATTCTGCCTTGGCTGCAGCTACACAAACCTGCATGGTGCAGACAAACACCATGCTCCTTCACATACACGTGCTGCTACCATGGTTTATGCACCACAGGTCCCCGCACCAAGCACATCGACCAAGCCGGGTAATACGGATGCATCACAGCCACAATCCACTTGTCTGGTGATGCTGACTGATTTCTACTAAGTTCATTTAAGCTTTCCGTTCCTCCAACACACTTTCAAGACCCATTTGAAAGAACTATACACATTTCATCAAGCAATATTCTGCCCTGGCTGCAGCTACATAAACCTGCATGGTGCAAACAAACACCATGCTCCTTCACATACACGTGCTGCTACCATGGTTTATGCACCACAGGTCCCCGCACCAAGCACATCGACCAAGCCGGGTAATACGGATGCATCACAGCCACAATCCACTCGTCCGATGATACTGACTGATTTCTACTAAGTTCATTTAAGCTTTCCGTTCCTCCAACACACTTTCAAGACCCATTTGAAAGAACTATACACATTTCATCAAGCACTATTCTGCCCTGGCTGCAGCTACATAAACCTGCATGTTGCAAACAAACACCATGCTCCTTCACATACACGTGCTGCTACCATGGTTTATGCACCACAGGTCCCCGCACCAAGCACATCGACCAAGCCGGGTAATACGGATGCATCACAGCCACAATCCACTTGTCCGGTGATGCTGATTGATTTCTACTAAGTTCATTTAAGCTTTCCGTTCCTCCAACACACTTTCAAGACCCATTTGAAAGAACTATACACATTTCATCAAGCAACACTCTGTCCTGGCTGCAGCTACACAAACCTGCATGGTGCAGACAAACACCATGCTCCTTCACATACACGTGCTGCTACCATGGTTTCTGCACCACAGGTCCCCGCACCAAGCACATCGACCAAGCCGGGTAATACGGATGCATCACAGCCACAATCCACTTGTCCGGTGATGCTGACTGATTTCTACTAAGTTCATTTAAGCTTTCCGTTCCTCCAACACACTTTCAAGGCCCACTTTGAAAGAACTATACACATTTCATCAAGCAATATTCTGCCCTGGCTGCAGCTACACAAACCTGCATGGTGCAGACAAACACCATGCTCCTTCACATACACGTGCTGCTATCATAGTTTCTGCACCACAGGTCCCCGCACCCAGCACATCGACCAAGCCGGGTAATACGGATGCATCACAGCCACAATCCACTTGTCCGGTGATGCTGACTGATTTCTACGAAGTCCATTTAAGCTTTCCGTTCCTCCAACACACTTTCAAGACCCATTTGAAAGAACTATACACATTTCATCAAGCAATATTCTGCCCTGGCTGCAGCTACACAAACATGCATGTTGCAAACAAACACCATGCTCCTTCACATACACGTGCTGCTACAATGGTTTCTGCACCACAGGTCCCCGCACCAAGCACATCGACCAAGCCGGGTAATACGGATGCATCACAGCCACAATCCACTTGTCCGATGATGCTGACTGATTTCCACTAAGTTCATTTAAGCTTTCCGTTCCTCCGACACACTTTCAAGACCCATTTGAAAGAACTATACACATTTCATCAAGCAATATTCTGCCCTGGCTGCAGCTACATAAACCTGCATGGTGCAAACAAACACCATGCTCCTTCACATACACGTGCTGCTACCATGGTTTCTGCACCACAGGTCCCCGCACCAAGCACATCGACCAAGCCGGGTAATACGGATGCATCACAGCCACAATCCACTTGTCCGATGATGCTGACTGATTTCTATTAAGTTCATTTAAGCTTTCCGTTCCTCCAACACACTTTCAAGACCCATTTGAAAGAACTATACACATTTCATCAAGCAATATTCTGCCCTGGCTGCAGCTACACAAACATGCATGCTGCAAACAAACACCATGCTCCTTCACATACACGTGCTGCTACCATAGTTTCTGCACCACAGGTCCCCGCACCAAGCACATCGACCAAGCCGGGTAATACGGATGCATCAAAGCACAATCCACTTGTCCGGTGATGCTGACTGATTTCTACTAAGTTCATTTAAGCTTTCCGTTCCTCCAACACACTTTCAAGACCCATTTGAAAGAACTATACACATTTCATCAAGCAATATTCTGCCCTGGCTGCAGATACACAAACCCGAATGCTGCAAACAAACACCATGCTCCTTCACATACACGTGCTGCTACCATGGTTTATGCACCACAGGTCCCCGCACCAAGCACATCGACCAAGCCGGGTAATACGGATGCTCAAAGCCACAATCCACTTGTCCGATGATGCTGAATGATTTTTACTAAGCTCATTTAAGCTTTCCGTTCCTCCAACACACTTTCAAGACCCATTTGAAAGAACTATACATGTAATCAAGCAATATTCTGCCCTGGCTGCAGCTACACAAACCTGCATGCTGCAAACAAACACCATGCTCCTTCACATACACGTGCTGCTACCATGGTTTCTGCACCACAGGTCCCCGCACCAAGCACATTGACCATTCCCGGACCCCGATCACGGTCGTGCCTGCTTTAGCTTGTGGCCTTTACGCAGTGGCTGACCCATGGGGAACCCCACCATCGGATGGGTAGCTTAAACCCACCATGCCAGTGGACCAAACATCCCTGGGGTGTCAATGGCCCCATTGATCTGGGGGAGTGGTCATGTTTCCACCTGTACAAGGATTTCTTTTGTTTACCATCTGGTTATGACTAACAGTTCGCCATGGAAAGATCCACCATTTTTGATAGCTAAACCCATCCATAAATGAGCCATTTTCCATGGCGAACTTTTGACACACAGTCTTACCACTCTACAAATACGACAGATCTCCGCAAATCCAGCAGTACAAAAAAAACACCTACCCTCTGGTAAACTAACATAGCTATGGAAAATCACCATTTTTAATGGGAAAATCCACTATTAATGGCCATTTTCAATAGCTACGTTAAATCCCCAGAGGGTATCTTCTGATCACATGCTCGAAGTGTCTGGTAATCAGGCGGCAGTGGAAAATCCCCAAACTATATCAATGGAGGCTTGCCTTGCTGGGAAAATCTACATCGGGACCTTCCATTTCAACGTTTACCGGAGGCTACGACAAATTTGGTTGTGAAGAAAAAAATTGAGACACCAGTTGACCCACAGGACTTTAGCTCAAAAAATGCCTTCACTTTTCGAAATTCTGCCCGACCCAAATGCTGACAATATATGTTTTCGTATAAATCATATGGGGCATGAGTCAAAACTGGATATGTCCATGGTATCCATAGTCTAATAGATATATTCGTACCAATATCTATGTCTAGATCTAGATTTATATGCGTTTTTCATGAGATTCAGTATTTCATCATATTTCTAAGTTTAGGTGCACATGTATCACTATATGATCATAGAATCATAGATGTTACATATATAAATATATATACGTACATATATCATCATATATCGATATATATATATATATCGTACATACATACGTATATAATAAATGTAGATGTCATCTGTAGGCATGTCCTGTGTGTCACCACGCCTTGCATCACTTGCATCGCCTTCGGCCTCGACTACCTCAGCAGCCTCAGGAGCCTCCGGAGCCTCGTGCCATGGCCATGGCCCAAACCCAGGGGAAGCTTCTGAAGCATCGAACATATCGAAAATTTGGTGATTTGAAAAAGGAGAAGCATGATTCATGATGGAATATATGATTTAAATATCATGAGAAGATTTACACACATGGAATATCATTATATTGAAAAACGATATAACATGATATAACCAACAAACATGTGAGAACATGCAACAAACATGGGAAACATGCTGGGATACAAGCTTCTTAACCAACAAATACGCAACAACATAAATATGGAAATATGCGTATGGGAAAACAATGGCTGGATAATAATACAAGCTGTTGTCCATAATTGGAGCGATATCCCAGGTACAAGAGTAAGGTGCAATATGGAAATATCGGGAATTCATCTCTGTTAAAATTCGGTATCTTAGTTCCTCCCCACTAATCCATTAGTGGGATGGGATTACAGTAATTCTTAGTGGCTAAATCCATCTAAATCCCATTAAATCCGATAAATCCGATGAAAAACATTAAAACACAACATTTAAATCCCCTTAAAACCACATTAAAACCCGATGAAAAAAGCCTATGAAAAAAATACAAAAAACGTGGTTCAGCTCTACAACCAGCCACTGGCACCTCTGACGCCATGACTTGGAACCGGAACGAACCGCAGCGATGGGAGATCAACTCTCCGAGCCAAGACGATGCAGCGCATTGCTCAGCAACTGGTTAGTAAGTGGGCTTACGAGTCTCAGTTGGAACCAGGAATGCGCATATCAGTGGGGTTATACCCAGCATTAGCAATTAACTAAGGTTATAGCCCAGCTACAAGCTGGGTCATGTTGGTTATTACTACGTGGTTATACCCAACATTACCCAGCTATAAATGGGATAAGCCACGAATCGGGGACTTACTAACCAAGGTTAAAGCCAATACTTATATGTAACTCATGGGGTGATCCTCCAAGTGGATTCGCTGAAAATGGGGGATACTGCTGGATACCTCAATTTATGGCCATCTTAAATAACGGGAACATGATGATTCAGCATGAAATTTTGGGGTAGCCCATTTTAAGACTAAACGGACACCAGAAAATCCCAGTAGGTTTAAGGTGGTCAGCAGCCAAAGAATGCCATCATCCACAGATACAGCCAATGCGCAGAGCCTTTCTCATCAGGCACCATATGTAACCATGGTGATGGTTTTTCATGCCTTGTCCATTGGACCAGCACCAACCAAGTCTTCCCTCAAACAAAAGCGGACAATTTCCGTGGTTTCTACAAAATTTGAAGGTTTTCCCTAAGATAAATATCATAAATTTAGGTATTATCATTTATCAAGTCTGCGACGAGGTTCCTACAAAATCGTACACAAAAAACTCCACAGGGCGTCCACTCGCCAGGGCATGAAAAATCGCACCAGGTCGCAGGATCCTCCGATCATCTGACACCACACCTCCCTTTGAAGAGTGCAGCTTGCGCCAGCGCCAATCGCAGGTTTCCCAGGGTCCACACGGCCTAAAGGCTACCACGCAAGACCTCAGGAAGATTCCACGGGGTCAACACCAGTCAGCACCAGTCACCTTATGGTCCTAAAGGCTCTGTTAAAGCAGAGATTTTCGATTGGCTCTCCGTGCTTTCCACCCCAGTGACAACGTCAGAATCGCTCTGAGGCTCCTACGTCTTGGCAGCAGCCCCACACGGCCGCTGTGGCGACTAGAAAGTTAAAACCCGCGCAAGCTGGTGTTGCTACGAGTTGAACAGCCAAAAGCATCCAGTCGTGATGAAACAATGTGACAATTGCAATGTTCAGTATGATCATTGAACTTGAATAATCCTAATAGTAATCTATATATATAACTATATACACACATATCAATAGTAAGATTTCAGCATCTTGATCAACAGGCGGTTTTGCTTCTGACTCTGTGGCAAGACGAAACCATCAACAGGATGCTGCTGTCTCTACTGGAAGGCTGAAACCGGAACGAAAGGACGGCGGCCCAAATCCCATGGCTTAGGACCACGCTTCAACAGTGTATCCTTGGAGCACGGCATCGCATGGGGGAGAAATGATGGTTTTGGCCTGGGCCCCAATTGGCCCAAGTCTTCAAAGCCGAAACCACATACCGCAAAGGTGGAAAAAGGTGGTGTCTGGTTAAACAAAATTTAAAAATTGACCTCTGGTGTTTACTTTACCATGGTTTACCGATCTACTTCATACCACAAATCAATAGCACCAGGATCCACGATCCGAGCGTCGGCCTTCCATCTTCAGATTTGACAAGATGGCCTCGGCCTCGTCTTCGTTCACCCGTTCATTGGCCATCATCACCTGACAACACAACGGAGGATAAAACTTGGCTATTCGTAAACTATAGTTAACTTATGATTAACTATAACTGATTATTAGCTATAGTCTTCCAGTTTCTTCCAGTTTTCTTTGTGATCAAAAAACGATTAAAACGGGACCTCCAACGAAAGAGCCAATGGGGTCATTCATCCGGGGTCAATATTGCCAGTGTTCTCACTCAGTCACTAAGCGGGATACCTAATAGAAAACCCGTGACTTGTCCCAGGTGAACTTCACCAAATTGAAATAAAATCCTCCCAAGCAGGACTATGCTATGCCCTGTCCATGAAACGCCGTGGCTATCCCCCAAGGTTTCACTGGACAAATCATCAGAAAAACATCCAAAATCATCCATGACCACCAAAATCATAAAGATCCACTAATTTTCCCATCAGTTTCAGTAACTTCCCATTTTCTCAGAGGACCCCAGCTGAGTCCCTTGGGGATTCCTTGGGATTCCATGGGATTCCTTGGGTGCTGGCGACCCCCACGGCCTCCTTCATGGCCGTGTAGATGTCCTCGGGCACTTGCCGTGCGGAGCCACAGACGTAGAAATGGCCCTCCTGCTGCAGCATGCACTGGTGCACCGCCGCGCCGGCCTCAGCCAAAAAAGAAACTCGGACGGCCGTAATGTTTTTAAAAAAAACATGTATACAGATTATATGTATATACATATAATAGGGTAAATTATAATATTTCACTAACCTGGATTAAGGCCATTTGGGGATCATTTCCAATACTAACCATGATTTCCAGTGAGGTCGTAGTGAGGTCGTTATAATTTACCCATATATATATATATATAGGTATATTGATATGTTGATATATTGATTGATCGATTGATTGATACATTGCTAGCTAGCTAACTAGATAGCTGGCGAACTGGCTAGATAGATTAGATAGATCGATATGTAGATAGATATCATATGTTATTATACAGGTATTTGTATATAGGTGGTTTCGGCAACTCCCAAGCTCATCAGCGTGCGACCTCCACAATCTTGTGCTGCACATAGATTTTCCGCGCCTGGCCAAAAGGGTCTTGGAACCAGGGAACCAGCCATATGATTCTGATTTTTTTGGAAAACCCCTAATTCCATTTGCGGGCACGCCCTATTTCAGACAAACCGAAGTGAATTTATCTTTCTAATCTTCCATCACACGCAACGGTAGATGGCACTCCAAGCCCACTTAGCCTCGCCTGTTCACGAGAGAAGGCTGTGTGCATCGTCAGCACTCCCTCCTTGACGTAGCTTTCGAACTCGTCCTTGTACAAATATTCCTCAGCATGGCGGTGAATTGTTGAATTTCTGGGAAACCGCAAAAACTTACTTCAGGAGCGTTGATATACAAAAAGTGGATGGTTGGTTCCATTCCCCTAGTTTGATCTATATATATATTATACATATATTGTGAGCGTGCGTATGTACGTACGTACGTACGTACGTAGGTAGGTAGGTAGGTAGGTATGTATGTATGGTTCACAATACACATGCAAGTGCATACAAGTGGTTGTAGGAACCAAAACTGAATGGTTAGTTGAGTTCACATTAACTGAATGGTTAGTTGAGTTCACATTCCCTTTTAAGCATCATGAATCATGAGGCAAAAATCACCAAAGCGACCACAAACGTGAAAAACTCCTGACCTCATCGCCCCAGCTGACCCAGCTCAGCACACACCAAGCTGCAGCATTGTAGCGCGCACCAAAGAAGAGATGGCAGGGGCCCACCTTTTGTCCGCTGCGGTGTTGGCAAATGCGTTCCTGCAGCGCTTCTGAGCTTCAAGGAAAGTTCATCGGAAGTTGATCCACCGAGCTTCTGCCTGTGAAAAACGGCTACCAAGCTGGAAAACATCAGCAGCAGCACCTTCACCATCACCACTACCAGGTACTCAAATACAACTCCAACTGAAATATTATAGTCATCTGATCATCTGTACCTTGTAACAGCCAAAACAAATAGAAACATCAATCACCTGTCACAATTTGAACAGCAAATTCGAGCATAGCTCAAACTGGTCTCCTGCGTGACGGCGCGCCATGGGGCCAAGCCCGTGCCCATGCCGGCCATGATCACAGGCTTCACAGGATCCTCACAAAGATCCAGAGGAATTGGGATGGATCCACTTTTGGATATCCAAGAAGTAGGAACTCTTAATATGGGTGTGTCTGAAAATTTGGGATATCCTGAAAATTGTAGTTTTACTCGGGAAGCAAATTCTGGGGTTGCCTATTTTCAGACAAACCCATATGTTGAAATCTAAAGTCCAATCATTGAAAGTTTATTTGAAAAATCCTGACAAGAAGATCTAAAATCCAATCGTGTAATACAGTAATACATTGAAAATGCATGTCCCCAAAAAAGTGAACATAGTATGAGCATAGTATCTATATCAAATCCAATTGGTATCTATTCAGGAAATCCGGGGATTCCAGGAGTGATATCCCAACCCAGAGACTGGGCATGGCTTAGCGGCTTAGCAAAGCATCCAAGATTGGGGGTACCCAATTTTGAGCCACGACAACATGGTGGGGAGGAAAAGTGGGTGCCTCAATGTTTGCCACTGTTATTTGGTAAATTGGGTTTACTTCGAAACCAGTGATTGTATGTGATTTTGGAATGTGCAATGTATTGCAAAAAAGATCGCCGCTTGGTTTTTTGCTTTCTGAGCTTTGCAGAGCTGGAAAGGCTTCAGATCCGGGATTTGTGGCAACATCCATGTTAGTAAAGCAATACGATCCACCATTCCCGGGACCATCCCAATTTTTGTTAACCCACCAGGTGGTGAACGGTTTATTATTGTTCGAACCTAATGATAATACCAACACCTGATCATTTTGCTGGCTCTTACCATGTCTTACCAACCAAAATGGGTATATACCTAAAGGAAGGAATATAACAGCCAACATTATCTCCTTTTCGAACCTCCCCCGGCTGCCATCTCAACCTCTCCTTGGGTAACACGATCGCGCTCTGTCGCACCGCACACATCATGGTGGTGCCTGGCTTCTGTTGTCTCATGTAGCCTCAAGGGTCGAGGCCAGGTTTGAAAGACGTTGTCCCGTCAAATCAAAATTGTCCCACATCAAAGTTGTTCATTTTTCCCTGACGCTAGTTTTGTCCACCTCAAATTGTAGATGAAATCCCGACGTTTCCATATCAAATTCACATGTTTTCTCATCAAATCCATAACTAATCCATATCAAATCCATAAAATCCTCATGTATCTGGGCCAAATCCTCATGTTTAACGGCCAAAAATGGCGAACAAAACAACAAACTTTTTTCTTCATCCTCCAGCTGGGTCCCGCGCCTGTGGCCTCACCCAGTCGCAACTCCTGAGTGCTCTCGACGGTCCAATCCACCAGCACCACGCAGAGCTGAATCTTGTCCGGGTGCATTAAGGGACTGCTGGCGATGGAATAACCTCAGGTTTTTCTGGGAATCTGCTGGGAACTTTCTCCGAACTTTCCGGATTTTGGGGGGAGAATGATCCTATAGAGTGGATCACCTCAGCTTTTGTTGTCGGGAATGAATGATCCAAATAATGGGAAGGAAAACAAAGATGGATGATATTGTCCAAAAAATGGGTCCCTAGCTCTTCTGAAAAATGTTCCACGAGATCACTGTCAGCCAAAAGATGGCGCGTTGAAAGCAAAGGGATGCGGCTGAAAACCCTCGGGTTCTTCGTTTTCTTGTGGGGGTTCATCAAAAGAATCACGAAAAAAAAAACTGCATGGCTCATGTCACCAGTGTCCAGGAACTTCGAGGCTTCAGCACTGGAATCATATTCAACAGCTGTTCGATGGGAGGTCGTGCACTCTTGAACCTGGGACGAGGAAATCAACAGCAGATCCCAATTGGGCTTGACAGGTGTTGATACTGGTGATGCATGGACATCAACTTACTCCGGCTTATAACCATTATAACCCTCTGCCCTGACTCTCAGATCTCTCAGAATGCTGGGGGTACCAACCCCAGAAAAGATATGGTGAGGTCCACAATTGCAAATCGCTCCAGTGACGAGAATTTATGATGCATTCTCTGAAAGGCCATCCGTTCTCAATTTAAAGACGATTCAGGGATGAAAGTTCTCTGACTCACGATCAACCAAAATTACATCAACATCATCATCCATCATCATCATCATCATCATCATCATCACCACTACAATTACCAGACCCCCCTCAACTACTGTCAACTTAAACATTATTAAACCATCAAATTCATCCAAATTCCCCATGTTTCTTGGCTAATCATCATGACCAGGTGACTTCTTGAAGACATCTGCGTGGTGCGCAAAGTCGTGGGTCAAGTCGCGGTACAGCGCCTGGCCCTCTGCGTTGTTCTCCACGATGCCCTGCAGCGCCTTCTTATCGGCTTCATCCTGTCGATGGCCACGGCCATGCATCGCAAAAAATGGCCGGAGGGTCCAAAAAGGAACTGTTGAACTTCATGAATTCAGCAAAAAAAATGTAAACATGTCGGCAAAGCCATGGCAAACATTGGCAAACCATGGCAAACCATGGCAAAGCCACATGTTCTAGGTTGTACTTGCAAAACCCTGTTTCTTGTTGTACTAGTTGATTACATGCAGAGAAATCAGCAACATTCACGTGCAAAAGCACAGCGAAGTTCAGGCAGGAAGTACCTACTGTAAGGAGCCGCTCACTGACAGAAACCTCTAGACTCTGGTACTTTTGGCATCCAAAAAATATCTCGAGAAAAAAAGTGCTGACCGGAAACCCCATCTCCAGGTCTTCAGTTTTGAAGCCCTCAGCATCCCTGACCTTGACGAAGAAAGACAAAGTCTCGAAGAATTTTCGGTTCGGCTTTCCAAAAATGTCCAAGACGTGGCTGAAGACCTGTCTCACCGACAGCTCCTGTGGACACCAGTTTCGAGCACCTGCAGCGTCTGCAGTTGGCTCGCTCCGTAAGGCTGAAGGCACCGGGTCCCTTGTGTGAAACAAAAAGATATTGATGTATAGGACTACAGCCCCATATTTAATGGGAAAATCATGGAAAATCTATGGTTTCCTGTAAATGTTCCCTTTAACCAATCCAATTTATCATGAGCTGTCATGATTTATCCATGATACACGGCACCACGTTTGGATCGTTTTTTATTTCAGCTTCACATCCCTTGTTCAGCAGGGCCTTCCATGGGCAAAACTCGGAGGTTCTGCGTAGCATCAAAGCCCATCTCTTTGCAGAACTCCTGCAGACATGCCAGGCATTAGGAATCACGACACGACATATTTTTGGGAAAATGTCAAGCTGTCCTCACTCTCCGAAAGGCTTGAAAGATTGGCTAAACCTGCATGTGACTGACTGGATGTGCCCTGCCTCAACCTTATCCAAGGGGTTGCGTGGCCATACTGCCAAGCTGTCACCGGTCTTGTAGCTCACTGGAGTTCCTTCAATCCTCGAGCTGTTCGGAATCGGATGGCTTTGATGTCTTTCAAACTGGAAAACCAAAATAGAAGAAATGGAGATTATATATATATATACCTACTAAACCCATATCCCCTTAATTTATGGGATTTGCTCTATATCCAACATGTTCATCTGAAAAGAAGGATTTCCCTCTTTCTATCCATCCCATCCCATTCCATCCTTTGAGCGCTGCCAATGTGGGCTCTTTTCTCCGTGGAGAAGCTGAGTTTCTTGTGCCAGGATCCCAGTCACACCATTTGAGCAATCATACTGACATAAGTTATATGATGTTATATGACATATTGTTTGAAATAGTAACATAGAGCTAGAATGAGCTACTATAGATAAATCAACTCCCTGGGATTATATGGCCCGTTTCAACATATTTCGCGTAGGCCGCTTGGAGGGAACGCTGAAGAGTGCGTAAAATAGTAGCCCTTGCCGTATAATATATTATGATAAAGATTGATCAAGTTTGCTCAAATCAGGTTTTATATGCAAAGAAGTATATAAATGCTCACGCTTCCAACTGAAAATCAGAAACTTTATACACCCCTGACGAAGATTAATGATCATTTGTACCTCCTTCAAAGCTGCCACCTGCATCTGTCTCAAGGATACCATTTACGATCTCTCTCCGTCGCCTAGGGTTTTGACAGAAACACTTGGTGTTGAACAGTTTCCCCATTCGCTTCCGAAGCTTCCAGATCAACCCCCCAAGAAACCCAGCCCAGCCACTTGAATTCGTAGTGCCGGATGTCGCGATCGTATTTCTCCGGCACCAGCAGGGAGTTGTGCAGCAGCGTCAGCTTTGCGGCCCCAGGTGGCACAATGTCGTCGTCGCTGATTGGGGGCTTGCCTGTGCCACCTCAGGTTGGACTCAGGATAGAAATAGTGCCTATATGGGCCCATAGAAAGGAATAGCGTAGATCCAATACCGCATCAGGATTTCATTTGGAGAGAATTTCATGTGCGACTGGCTGTTCGCTGTTCTGCCTTGTTGCCGTGGGTCATATTGGTAAAGACAATCCCAATATGACAGATTCATATCCGACCCAAGCAGAACAAACAAACCAACCAATCATGTGGCGGTTGCCTCTGGAATTGTGGAAGGATTCAGAGTGGAAGGATTATTTGAACATCACCATATACAGATACCAGATACCATGTAGAAAAATAGGGCGCCACAGAAAGAACTTGTCATCTGTGGAGATCCTCGACATTTCTTCCTGCCCATGCCATCGGGACCACACTCTGAGCACCCCGACTCACATCCACGCGATAGCATGGTGCTGGTGCTTCCTGGCACCGCAGGTTGCCAGTTAGGCCCAGTGGACTTTTTATCCATAGGCTACCCATGGGTCCCCCACCAATTCCATGGAACTTCGCAAACTTCGCACATCAACCAAGCTCATTTCATGAGTCACGCCAGGCCCAAAATGGCCCAATATCTCAGATAGTTCGTACATCCTAATTCAACTCCCATTCACCCCTATATCTTCCATTATCTCACCATTATATCATCCTTTCTCTTCCGAATACAACTCCTATTCACCCATTATATATATATATATATTTATAATATATATATATATTTATAATATATATATTATATATATATATTCACGTCGCTTCGCGACGGCAACCGCCCGCACCGCATCGTTAGGCAGCCGCTCGTAACTGCCAATGATGTCGGCCATTGAGACCAAAAACATCCGAAAGTACTGATTGTCGGAAAAAAAATCGCGAAGAATTTGATAGCCATGTATAGCGGACCAACGCAGTTCAAAAAATAACGAAAAACATGAAAAAACGGCGAAATTGCTGTTATTTACAGTGTTTTTGCGCGGCAAGAAGCAGAAACCACTGCACATACCATGGTTTTTGAGGGTCAGGTGGCCAAAAACACTGTAATTTACAGTGTTTTTTTAACCAACGTCAAAAAACACTGGTATTTACGATGTTTTCATTCACACCGTAACATAAAACAGCGTAATTTACGAGGTTTTTGGAAGTTTTGAAGCTAGCCGTCAAGCATGCAGAAAACAGAAAAACACTGTAAAAACCAGTGTTTCTGCTATCACAAAACGACGAAAATCAGTCCGAAAACGGGTCCAAAAACTCAAAAATCCTCCTCCGGGCCCGGCCACCTGCGGAACCGCAAAAAAAGATGTTGCAAACCAAAAAATTGAGGTCAAAAAGTTGAAAAACACGGGGTTTTTTCACTTTTCGCTTGCCGATTTTACTGTTTTTTACAGTGTTTTTTGAAGGCGAGCGTCACGACCTATCAAAAACAGGAGGTTTTGGCCGAAAAATGCCCCCCCCCCCCAGGTAAACCTGTAACCTTTTACGAGTGCCATCCGGAAGATCACGCCCCAGCACCTTCGGTGCGGGCGGATTTATAATATATATATATATATATCACCATTACATCCACTGTGTGTCTTCCAGTCCCTGCCTGGGACAGTGGCATTTGCGGCAAGCCCATGACCTTCCAGAGCTCAGGCAACCAAGCCTCCCAGCCGGTGTAGTAGCGGTCCTGCACCGTGGCTCAGCATGAAATTTTGGAAGCTGACTTCACTCGAGCAGAAGAAAAGGACAACAAATAATCTATATTTATAGTACTATAGAACTAGAGTACAAGTAGTGCTTTTTATTTAATAATTTATAGTACACCTAGTATCACGTAGTGTTTCTTTTATATAATTTTAACAACATCAAATGGACGCACCTCGTCGCGGTCATCGCCCACCCCACGCTTCAGCATGCGCTGGCCGCCCAGTTCGCCCAGGCGGGTGTCGAACTGAATGGCTGCCACGCAGAACTGGCCTCGGAAAGTCGATCTGGCGGTTTTTAGGCATGGAAGTCATAACCATAATGGCAGCTAGTTCGAGGTGGTATAATAACCACCATGGTAAGAAAAAAAACAGCTATGATAATTAACCAGTGATGGTAAAGATATGGCTGCTAAAGGTGGTTATAACTACCATCAAGGCAGAATTGTCTTCTGATTGGTGGCCAATCATCAACGGGAATGATCATACAAGAAGTGGAAAGTGTTTTTCCAAGGACGCAAAACCGACTTGCCATATGAGAAATGAACATTCAGCAATTCAGCAAGCATTTTGATTCTGAGAAGCGCGGTTTGGCATACTCAGCTCACATGGACCAAGGGGCTGTAAGTGGAATCTCCCAAGCCGAAGACGGCAAATTTCGTGCCAGAGAGCCAGCTCATCGGCAAGTCCTGGGGTGACACATTCGATCCAGGATCCAGGATGATCCAGGTTTGGTGCTCCCCAAAGATTGACTTGGAACCCATGTGGCTGGGCCATTTCCACTAGGGATCTCGGATCTTCTCTCATTTTCCGAAGACCAATTTTGGGCGTTCCATCAGGGCTTTCTATGAGGCCACCTCCAAGTCGTTTGGGTTTATCATCATGGTTTCCTTTATGTAAATCACCGTTTCATGTGTATATATATATATATCCAATTTTTTTCAAACACACCCATATTGTCGCCCCTACATCCCACGATCTTCCCTTCAAATAGCCACTGTACCATGCTATCTCATTCACAATGTCCCCATATCATACAAGTTACCCTCAGGTAAACATTCACAGTTTGCTATTGAAGCCATGGCCCATAGAAATAGTGGATTTACCCATTAATAGCATGGTGATTTTCCAGTTCGTTATGGAAACGTTTAACAGGCCGGGTATATTCCCATGATATGTCCATGAGATCCGTCCTGGGACTGCAGTTTCAACCAGGTCTGCTTGGAGTTGGCCGGGAACTCGCCCAAGCCGCAGGTGGACACCACCAAGATCACCTCCGGAAAGGCATGGCTGGCAAGCCATGGCACCATTAAGATATATCATTCATATCATGTTCTAGGAATCATTACATTAAGATACCATGAAAAGTTAATTATCATCAGGAAATATTTTTTTGTGACATGATGATTCATGATACAGTAATGTATATAAAGCCAGCGTAGCACTAAGCTGGTACCAACAGCTAGTATCCATTGTTAGAGAAAAAATAATTCGACCCAAACAGAACTGGAATACATCGGTCCAATATCCCACCAAGCCATATTCACAAACTGGGATGTACACAATGCATCTGTCTATGTATCTATCTATCTATCCCTAGATCTATCTCTATCCCTATCTCTATATCTCTGTCTCTATATCCCTATCTCTATCCCTATCTTTACCTCGATCCATATACCTGCAATTTTCATTCAGTATATATTGATAATTTTGATTTTAGACTTTCTAAGATTGAAACGATCTGGATATCTCTATTCACATTAATCATTGAGTTTCAAATAGTTTCAAACATAAACTACAGAAGATAGCATCCTCAACAATCCAACATCCCACAATCATAATCCTCATCTAGGAAGTAGCACGCATAGCATCTGGTAGATACTATTAGGATCATGATAATAGTATAGTACTGTTGCAAATCGTTTCAAACATAAATTACAGAGGATACTATCTGTAATAATCATAAAACTATGTTTAAAATCAAATTGCTTAATTAATAACTATATTATATATGATTGTATAGTACTCAAACATCAATTGTCAATAGATTGTTAAACTTATTAACAATAATTAGAGTACTAAACATCCTAGTCGCTAATTATATAGTACTAAACATGATGTCTTAATAATTATAGTACATAGTAACATATAGTAACTATGGTACTCAAAACATCCTCCCGCTCCCTTCGTCCAAGTCGCGATCTTCTGATTCGGCAACTCCTCGAAGTCGAAATCGTCCAAGGAGGACACCTGCGCCTTCAAGCCGCGCGCCCGGATGTCCTGGCGCCCCGCATGGAACACGCGCAAGGCGCAGCGGATGGGAAACATGGAGGTTGAGCCATGATTTAAGTATTGCTATGTATTGCTTAACATTTGCTAAGTATTCAACAAAATGGGAATTCAATCTTGAATGTCATGAAGAATTTGGAGTTCACCCAACGACCTGAAAATTTAACCGGCGAAATGGCGAATCCCTAAGACTTGGTAGGGTTCAACCCCCATCCTCCAATGATCACTGCTCAGGTCACCTGTCCTGCATGAGGTTCTTGGCCTGTTCTTCGGCATTGCCGGTCTCACTGCCGTAGAGCACCGTGACCTGAGCTGCCCCGACCCGACCCTCCTTCAGTCAGCAGTCAGCTGCCTGTGATCCTCTTAGAACTGACCCAAAGATAGAGGTAGATAGAGTAGATATCTGGGTTTCTCTGCTAGGGTATCCCATTCCATCCAGTGAGTAATGATCATTTCCTTTAAAAATTGCCAAAACTGGGGAGCTATAGCACACTCGTCTTTATCTTTATCTGTCTTGGAGCTTTCAACACCAAGGCACCATGTCGGCTGTGCTCTTGGCATCCGACAGTCCCTCGACCAATTTGTGGAATTGACCTACAACAGCGGGTGTCTCTTGTGCATGACCGGTGAGTTGTAGATGTAAACTCATCTCATCTGTTTGCATATGTGTATACATATATATATATGTAATATATAGATGCATATATCATATACACACACCAATAGATGAATGGAAAAAAACATTGACATGGATAACAACGATACAAGTGTACCTGATCCTGAGCAAAGCTGTGCCTTCCAAGTCCTCCTTGTTCAGCACCTGCAACAGGTGGTTCTTCTGCACCACCTGTTCTTGCAGTCTGTCATCAAGCTCCTGCCACAAAACAAACGTCGGGTCTTGGGCGTCTTGGCACTGCAGAAACTGCTATAAAACCATATGGAACCCACCAATGATCACCAACGTACCAGGAAACTGAAACTTGATATGTTTGTTCGAAACGGTTCAATTGACAGGATGAGATAGCTGGGCATCTTCCGAGTGATCTGTTCTACTGACATGGTTTATGGAGTCCATGCGATTGCTCCTTGCTGAGTGGCCAGTTAGCATAGTTGGCACTATTCAATGCTCCAAAGTTTGACCCTTCGCAACAGACGTCCATGCAGCTCTCCTGCGCATGTTTCGGGTCGCGGCGCATCACTGCCGCGAAACGATTCTCCTGGATCGCAGCTTTTTGAAGCACCAGTGGATGCCCAAAAAAAGCAAACCAGCATCTCACAGCATGTCAAACTGAGGCTAAACAATGATGTATTTCACAATGTGCAAGGTTGAAATGGTTGAAACCGAATAATCATAGAATATAGCCCTTAAAATAGCCCAAAGAAAAATGCATAATACATGAAGCCTCTGCAGCTCCAGCCGACCTTGGCCAAGAACTTGAAGAGGTCGCCCTTAATTTTCCTGCTATCCAGCTGGAAGGGGTTGTTGCCATTCGCAGCCGCTTCGGGGTTGTAGCGGTACAAAGGCCAGTAGCCTTCGGATGGACATCCATGAACAAAATAAGGAAAAAAATCAGTCTACACACAGCAGTGCAAAAGTCTTTACCTCACTTATGTTGCATCAACAAGGTACATAAGCCTTCCAACTCTGTTTTGAATGCCTCAAATGTAAGAAGCTAATAATTACCAGTCACATGTTTGTATCTCATTCCAAGCAACCGCTGTCCACCGCCATCTGGCAGTGCTGAATGGACTCGGCCATTGGGAATCCCTGACTGATGCAAGGGGTATAGGACAAGATGATGCTAGGTCCTGCGCTCCCCCTGCTTCCACCACACCGGAACCATCCCGCAACGGCACACTCCAACTACCCTAGCCATCCCGGGCGAACCAAAACCGGACCTCCCCGAACCTGGAGCCCGCACCAAAAGCTACATCGAACCTTTAGCCTCAAGCTAATGCTGTTGGGGAAAATGTCACGCAATTTTGCTTGTTCTTGATTGGGATTCATCTCTTGTCAAATGAATTCGTACTCACCAACGTGCCTGTTACCAAAATCAAACTGAGCCATCCGCAGAATAACATCTCTGATCAATATTGTTACTGTTAGAGTATGTTTCCTGGGCAACTGATCAAAATAATTCTTTAAAACATGCTCCAACCAAGCTGTCCTGGATAGGCATCAGCTTCGATAAAAGCACGGACTGCCTGCCACCGAGTTCAGGACAGGAACTTTTAGGCTTTTCATAGCTAAATTATTCTAAATTGGTGGAAGAACGCAAGGACTGGGGTCAACAAAACGGCTCCCATGGACAGTTGGGTGGTGGATGCGAACATGCAAACATATGCAAACCCTCACCTGCTGCGGGTTCACGTGCACGCAAATGCTGGCCACGTAGACCTGAAGACAATTACAGCGGCACATCCAATGGCTAGGCACCACTTGGACCTGATGAACCAAACGGGTTTGGGATGATGTCAATTGCCATTCTTCTTGGGCTTCCCAAAGATCATGGCGTTGCAATGTCCCCAGTATTCGAGCACAAAGGACAGGACTCTCGAGGGGTTCTGGACAAAGAGCACTGCAGTTTCTTATTTCCACACACGGTACAGACGAGGGTGCAAAAACGCACATGAAAACTCGCTCGTTCCACTTCAAGCTCGACACGTTCTTGTAGGTCATGGCCAATTGTCCCATGTCCTGTCAAATTATTGGAATACAATTGGCATGGGACAGAACATGAGATGCAAAAGATGCGTTCTTTTCTCAAAGTTTGTGGATCAACAACATGCTGCTCAAATCCATGTTTTTTATTGTTTTTTAACCAACTCAGCAGTGAGCTGATGTGGTTCACCTCATTTGCAAAAGCACCTGGCACCTTTGTGGATCTATATATGTCCACCTGAAATTGGCACTACGATCTGCTTACAGCCCAATCTCACTGCCGGTTTCAACAAATGTTAGCCATTACAGATCATTCCCAAACCATGGTTGAAAACGGTTTTGCCTTTGACCCAAAAAAAACTCTCCAAGAGATCCGAAAAATTCGGGTGCCCCCCCCCCATATATTTTCCCCACGGTCTTCCCATCCAACCCATTCCGCTCCAACGGTGCCATTTCGGGGGTCCTTCTTGGCCGTCAGCTTGCCGCTTTCTGCGAATTTGGCCATGGCACCCTTGGGTGTGGCCTTCGAAGCCTGGCCTCCAGTGTTGCTGTACATCTCCTCGGAAGTGCTTGAAGTGCTTGGACGGGGCACCGCTGGTTTCCCTTGGGAAAATCTGGAGGAAACCGATGGTTTGGCTGAAAAGGTACACATCTTTCACTCCAAAAAGCCCAGGCTGCGAACTACCCAAGCTCTGGCGCCAGGGATCTGTGTCCAGCACCAGGATGTTGACGTGTTCCTGGCAGGACTGGGACTCAGTCCGATGTCTACTGGGGATTGTTCAAGGATAGTCTACAATGTCTACAAACTCATGAAATCCTTGGTGTTGTACTGGACCTGTTCATGTTTGAAGTCCCAGGTATGGGAAGGTTTCTATGATGAGGACAGGGGATTGTCAATCATTGGCAGGGGGAACCTGAATTTATGGATAGTCAAATAGTTGGATAGCTATGAGTCAAAACCCTGGTACCCTAGGTACCCCAAATAGCTGATTCATGGATGGTTATTCTGGTAAGTTCATAGGTTTTGACCCATCCCCAAATAGCATCAAATAGCTACAATGAACCATTTCAGGTGCCTCACTGGCAATGACGTGATCCAGGCCGCCATAGCCGATATCGTAGGCCCAGCCGTCACCACCCACAATCCAGAAGCTGCTGCGTCCAAACATGTCTTCCCTGAGGGATCAATGAAAATCTGTCAGGATGGGAACAGGATGGGAAGTCTTAGTTTCTTGCTGTTTAAGTTTAGCCATGCTGTAAGATTTGCTGTGAGGTCGGAGAAGGGAACATGATTCAGTATCCACTCAGGCTGGAAACTTCAGTCGGATGCCATAATACTATGCCTTGAATTCAGCCTGCGAAGTTTTTTTCAATGTTAAACTTGGATGTTGAGACAAGACTCAACTCATAGAGATTCTTGATCTTGGCATGCGAACCCTTCTCCTGACAAGTCGCGTTTGAGTTTACATGCAGCCTGTCAGGTTTCAAGGCAGCTCAGCGAGGAAAATGGAAAGAATCGAATCATTCGAATCCAAAGGTTTCGTAAGTCACTTGGCAGTTCCGATTCTTTTCACGGGGCAAAAGGCTCAGACATGGTGAATCTCGAGGGGTGCGCCTTCTCCAGCAACAGCACCAACTTCTCCATGATTTGGTGGTAGATACTTCGACCACGAGGAAGCAGCAAGTCGTGCATGTTCTCCTGTGACAGGACTGAGGATGGGAGGGCGTCGTGTAAAATGTTGGGAAGAGCTGGGGATATGCCTATCGTTCTCAGGAAACCAAGATGGTTTCCCCAACGAAACTCACCATCTGCAAACGAAACCCTTGTACCTTTGCCTCTATCGAGGCAGAGGTGCTGAGGATTTGCGGTGGTAATAGATGGGAAATCGCCGTGCTTTGTCATCTCTGGAAAAATGAAGAGTCTGCAAAAAATGACAAAATTCCTCGAAATATGTGTTGCACCTCATCCATCTTCATCCCACAAAATCTTGCTTCAAACCATCCCTGCACACCACAGGAACCATCCACCACAGCGTCTCCCCATTGGCCAGCGGTCCTTGCGCATCACCAGGTACTGATTCAGCGCAGCCCGAAGCTCTTCGCTCATCAGCACCTCCTTATCCGCCAGGGTGTCCTGCAACATGACCGGTTGCGGATGAAACGGATCAACGATGATCAACGATGATCAACGGTGATCAACGGTGAAAGATTTGATTTGGGATTCACCAGGGATTCACCAGAGCAGAGATTCATGAAACATCTTATATCATCTTAATTCATCTTATATCACCATCAGATCTGCAAAAAAAACAACGAAGTCCTCATTGGTTCACTGTGCCAGAAAGTCAGGGCAGTCCTCAACTTGGTTCGCCAAATAGTCACGTCGCTGCTTGAAGGCCTAGCCAGCAAATCACCCACAGTCGGAACGGTGGGAACTGGAACCGGCCTGGAAACATGGAAAAACTGGGTTTCTGTTGACCTTTTTGGGGTTTCCCAACATTTCCCAACTAGGAATTGTTGGAAAATAAAGGCCTTCCTTCATAACTTCTGGAACTTGGTTTCCCAAAAACCAAGAGACGATTCTTGAAGCTTTTCATTAGTCCGACATGGCAATCATGGCACTGCACAGCCTTGCGCATTCCGAAGCCAAACTCGGCGTTGTCCTCGAAGAGCGAGTTGGCCCATGCGGGGCCTGTCCATGGATGGCTAGATGGATATGGGATGCCTTCAAGAAATCGAAGACTTTGGCCATACCTGCCATTCTTGATCAGTGTTCAAGACTTTGAGTCATCCCTAACCATTGCTATCTGCTTGAAACCGGTGGGAAGATTGCCGCCCGCCTTCACCCTTGGCATTCACAGTGTAGGGGAAGGATGGGTTGGAGCCGCCCCAAATGGAGGAGCAGCCCGTGGCGTTGGCAATGACCAAGCGCTCACCGAAGAGCTGAGTCATGAGCTTCACATGGGGTGTCTCTCCACAACCCTCACAGGCACCGCCTTCAGCTTGGAAATGGTGTGCTCAGACATGGCAGTAAAACGTGTCCCAATCTTTCGAGGCATTGCAAGTTTCAAAGAAGAAACAACTGAAACAAGGTGTTGAGGGATGACCTGACCAACCACCTACTTAGAGTATTTGACCTATTTGATGCAAATGATTCAAATCGTGGCCAAGAGGCTGAACTCCAAGTATGGCTTCTGGAACTGGGAGCCCTTCACCGTGGTCTTGTCAATCTCATCGCCACGGTCCGGCAGGGTCACAGCGAAGTTCCAGTTGGCTTCCTCTTCCTGTCGGTTTGGTGGGATCTTGGGAGCAAACTCGCGTTTCACATCACTAAACCGTAACCATGTTTTTGGGTAACCTGGTACCAAATAGGGTACCAGGTTACCATAGGTTACCAACTTTTGGGTACGGTTACCAATTGGACCAAACATATCCAAACATCACCAAACCGTACCCTATCTGAACATCGAAATGGGTCCATTCCAAAAACAGAACCGCTCGCAGGCGAGCGCCTCGATGACCTTGGCGGCATCTGCCAACTTCAGCGCATCAGCAGGGCAAATGCGGACGCACAACTCGCAGCCGGTGCAGTCCCATGGAGATACCTTGGGACGGGCACGGTGGTGTCTGCCTCGATAAGTTGGATAAGTTGGGGATGTGTAAGTCAGTTGTACCGAGGTTATGGTGGAATGCGGCAACCCAACGCCATAAACCTACCATTTGGGAATGGTTTATACAACCGGTGATTTGGGATTGTATGGGATTGTTTATTATTGGCTTTGCCACATTGTGAGATATTGTGAGTAATTATCTTTCATTCAAGGATTGAGAATCAGGTATAACTTGCAACTCGTGGACACCGCTTTGCGGGAAATACCTCGAAAAGCATCAGCATGGCCCCATGGCAGGATGATCGGAACATTTAAGTGCTTCAACATGGCCATGTACGACACGCCTCTGAAGGTCTGAGTTCACCAGAGTTGAGGCAACTCAGATCTGAACATTGGTATGAAATAAGACCTGCTTTGAGTCAAGACCTGACGAAAGATATGTATATATATATATAAATGGAAGGGATTCCTCCAAAGAAGAGCCCTAGAATATCCCAAAATCAGACCCGAAGATTTGAAGATTCAATTGTTTCTCACCTTCTTCACTTGGGTGTTTCTCAAGACTGGGCTACCTCAAACCAGTGGCTGTTCCTTGGTTTTCCTCAAACATTGCCTACATTTTAGATGATTTTGGGGGGTCCAATCTAGGAAATGTTCCATGTTTTTTTCATGGTTTTTCTTCCAATGTTCAGGCCTTTTCCCAGCCGACTCACCTGGATTCGGTATTGGTAGTTGTCCAGCACTCCACCTCCAATGGCGGCGCGGCTTCCGGCGCTGAAGTCCTGTCTTTCAGCAACGAGGAACGGAATGAACGACCACTGTTGAAGATCAACTGTTGTTACTCCACCAGTCGGAAGAAAGGGGATATATAATATAATATAATATATATATATATTTATACATTTATACACATATATATATATACATATTTGGCAAAAACTCGAGCTCAAGGCGAATTGGACCCAACTCCTTGGGTGCTGCAGAAAGCTCTTGTTGAGTTGCCAAGAAAGGACGGACCTCAGTGCTGGCATTGTGCTTGGGAATCTTTTTCTGTGTCGTATTGTTCACCAGTGATGCACCCCAGTCCAGTGACCCTGGTTTACATGGATGTTCATCCCAAATCTGAGAGTGTTCTGAAACCAACTGCAGCCTGTTGCTTTCGACCCGTTTTCTGCAACCAGCCAACAGCTGCGTGAGGACAGATCAGACTGCACTTGTTGCACTGCGTGCAGAGATCCATGTCCACCTCAGGGGCATCGCAAAGGCCAAGGCCACCAAGGCCGCGCCAAATGGCATAACAAAAAAGTAGCCGCTACGGCAATGTTAACATGGCAATTAAAACTCTCCCATGTATACAACATTAATATAGGTCAGTTTCCCATCAAAATGCCTTTCATTATTGATTTTCCCGTCGTCATATTTGATTATCACAGCACACCAATGAGGTCACATGTAAACACCACAAGACACCTGCCTTGGGCACGTTGATGGCAATACCACGCTTCTCGAACTGACTGGTGCCCAAAGGTACACGACCACCCGGAACGAAAGTGCTCACGGGCAAGGAATTTCCGTCCTCAGAGAGCAAGCAAGTCTTCATGGCAGACCCAAGGCCCGTCCCATCCAAATCCCATTGTCCCATCCTGTTTTCATTCTATGAGAATTATGGGTTTGACAGCACCAAGTGGGATCATTCAATAAAAGTCTATGAGAACTATGGCTATCCATGGTAACTGTACATCTCCATCAGGGATTCCTTGAGAATTGATATGTCCAACCTCCCAACTTTCACCAAGGATCCAAGTTGTTGCAGGGCTGCTGCACTCCATCGGCAAACTGCTTGGGCGCCAAATCGATGATCTTCCGGGGCCCCTTGGCGATCTGGGTCGATTCTCCAGCCTGTCCGAAAGGCGGGGGCCTTTCGGCTACCGGGAACTGATGGAACTACCCTGGTGTTCACATCAAAAAGCTGCAAATTGGGGAAAAAACCCAAAATGCCAGCTTTTAGTCGTGCCGAGTCCCAGTTTTGAAGGTTTACACTCCCATTTTATATGGCTTTTACCGTGTTTTTGTACCCTTTATCTTCTGGTTCTGCCCCCATTTTTCCTAGCTTTCCCACCCCCTGCACCGCCTCCCCAGGCACAGAGATCTCGGCCCAGCTGGCCGGCACCGGGCACTCGATGATGCCGCTCACCGAGGCGTCCACGCCGTCGATGTTCATCTGCACCACCTTGTCACCTGGCAGCACTGGAATGCACTGGGCACTGGTAATACCGCGGAAAATCATGGAAAATCATTGAAAATCAAAAATATGTAAAAATTGAACCCATCAACATTCTGGTGTTCAATGGGGTGAAAAACAACAAATCTGGTGTTGAAGAATGGATTGGGGTGAAAAAAATGTAGATGAGACCATAGTTTTCCTCAGTAGATATCGGGAGATTCATTCAAATATAAGCCAAAGAGCCAAAGCACTTCCAGTGTCATCCAGAATGTCTGTGTCGCTTCATGGCCGCCCATGACAGAATTCTAAAAGAAAACTCAAAGCACTTGCTTGTTCCTGCTGAGACAAGGATTAAATTTTATATATGCATCTCATCAACCAATGCGGGTTTTGTCACAGCTGAATGGCTGGGCCTTTCTTGCCATACATCTTCTTGATGCTCTTCTTCAACATGTCAATCGCCTCCTCAAAAGGCATCACCTGGGCACAACGTCCGAGCTCGGATCAGCTGCTGAAGGCCCCAACAAAACTCACCAATGACTAAGGGATTCCCAGGGATTCCTATTAGCTACCTGGATTAAAAAATGCACCAAAACGGGTCTCTCCAAGCTCACTATCATCTGGGCAACTCCATGCGTAGCTCCAGCCATGGCCATGTTTTGGAGGATCCAATCCTAGCGGTCCTAGCGTCAACGGAGTCTCCGCTCCAAGGTACACCGCTGAGCTTGAAGAAGACGCTCTGCATGATCATGTTGATTCGCTTGCCAAGACCAGCCTAACAAATTATGACATCTTCATTTTAAGCGCACCAACGAGGGGTCGTTAAAATGGATTCCATCTCCAACAATGACCTGAGGATGATTCTTCAAATTCATCCGTTTGATGGGGGCATTTGACAACCCCTGCAATAGCTCTGAAGATTCTGACAACAGAGAAGCTGAATGCTACCAGCTGGTTGATTAAAGAAGTAACTGTTGCTTGACACATGCGCACCTGAATGCCATTCACTCCAGAGATTTCAGTTTATTCTTCCAAGCATCAGGAAAATTGAAATCCATATCATTTCCTACCAGTTCTCTCCCTTTTGCCGCAAGTGCGCTGTCATGACGGGCCATGGCCTTGACGGCAATCTGCGTGGCATCGATGATGTACAACTTTGCCTGTCCACTGATCAAAGGTGTATCCTGTACACTTCGCATATCTATCTTACTCCCAAGTCAAAATTATGAGCTATCCGCATATGAAATCCTCCTTTTCATCCGATTTCAGGCGATTTCAACTGATACCGTCCCTGCCTTCTTGCTGGCCAAATCACGTCGCATCTTCGGTGGCAACTTGTTCTCGAGCTCGGAGACACTCCAGGAGCAGTTGATGACGCAAACTCCGTTGGGCTTCATGTAGCGGGTCATGTCCTGAGTATCGGAAACCCCCCTTTGTAGAAACTCGACACGGGAAATGATATGAATTGAGCAGGGCAGGGATCCACCGAAGTTGAACTTTGAGTTGAATCAGTTGGGGTGCTCAGATGTGCTCAGTCTCCAAAAGGGAGCATCAAATGACACAAATCATCCACTCCTAGCAGCAATTGGTCAATGACTTCTTAGCATGCTTGCCATGATTCACGTTGACTGAGAATTATGCAGACTCCACCCATTCTTTTTTCATCTTTTTTCCGTCACCAACACTGCGTGGAAATCAATCCAACATCTCCAAACTCAGCCCATCAAAAAATGCAAATCGAGGAGCATAATTTGCCACGTAGCTCGGCTTGTGAATTGCCAAGTAGTCTGCAGCGCGCACGTTGTACCTCAACCATCAACCATCAGTGTCGGTCCATGGGAGTCCATATAACCCTTTCCGCTAGCCGCTACCCATCGCTACCCCGTGCCGCCGTGCTGCGGAGCGTAAATGGGCTGAGGACCGAAACGCAAATGGCTAATGGTGACGCCACCACTCTTCTTGGCATCGTACTCGAAGTAGGCCTTCGTAACAAGTCCAAGAGACCAAATGGCCACGGTATGTTTCACTGGCTACTTTCTGCAAGAAAAGTTGTATGAGATTCTGTTTTAGCCATAAGTACTCAATTTGTAGATTGACTATCGGCCTTAATCCTCTATGCAATTTAGTAGTGTCTATACTCCATGAAGTTTGAATGATGGTCACCTGAGAACATTTGGAAATCCCACCTGCGCATACAACTCGGTGCCCATCGCAATCATCTTCACTGCACTCTTGTTGGCCCCAACCGTGCCATCACTTCCCAAGCCATAAAACATGCACTCGGTGGTTCCCTTGGGCAGCACATTCAGCCAATCACCCACCGGCAAGGACAGGTGCGTTACATCATCGATGATGCCCACAGTGAAGCGAGGCTTTGGGGTATCCTGGAAAGGGGCCGCAGGGAAAGCTCCTTCTGAGTCCGTCCAGTATGTGGTTAGTTGGCTGCGGGTGAATGAACAGTTGAAAACTATTCGGTACATTCAAGTCGGACCACCTTCCCAAGTGCAAAATTCATCAAAAGCCAGCATTTCATCCTTGATTTTCCACCACCAGCCACCCCCCAAAAAAAAAAAAGCCCCAACATGCCCCAACCAACTCTCCAGCTGCACTGGGCAGAAAATCTGGGCCTTCTTCAAGTTTTCGTAGACCGACAGCACCATGTTGGGAGTGAACTCCTTGGATCCCAGGCCGTAGCGCCCACCGATGCAGACGATGTTCGGCTTGGACATGGCCTTCAGGGTGGTGCTCACCTCCAAGAAGAGCGGCTCACCTTGCGAGCCCTGCTCCTGAGCCAGTCTCCAAGGTGCAGATCTTCTGTGACTTGGGGAAAATATGGAAATATGTGTCTAGATCTGGATCTATATTTATATATCTATATCTAGATCAATGTCTATATCTATATCTAATTATACATACTAGTATTATCATACTTCATTCCAACCGCCAAGTGCTCCAACTTGCCCCCTGCGGCTCCTTGGTGCGGTCCAACACACAAATGCGCTTGGTGGTGGTCGGCAGGGCAGCCATGAAGCGGTTGCGATCCCAGGGACGGAAGAGACGCACCTTGAGCACGCCCACCTGCAGGTGCAACGGCGGATCTGCAGATTTTGGGAGGCTTCAGCAGTTCAGATCTCCAAAACAAAAAACGCGGAGAAGGGTTGAAGATTGCTGATTTAGATCGGACATTTCCCAAAATTGGGAGAGAAACATATAAATGGCTGAGTTTTGAACGATTGGGCAAGCGATCTGTTTAGGGGCACGGATCTTTTAGGAAAATCCACATGAATCCTGAATATATCTGAATATGAGTCAAGAACCAACTCGTTGGCCTAGTCTGTCACCCCAATCTTTTAAGCTGCAAGCCTTCTCGCCCTTCTCCTGCAAGTACTTGGCCGTCTCACTGCAAGTCACGGCACCACTGCCCATGACCACGATGACATACTCCGCCTCTGGGTGTCCGTCATAGGCATAGAGGGCATAGTGCACGCCCGTCTTCTGCTCCACCAACCTCACAAGAAAACTGTTCTTCCTAAAGTCCATTCGGTTTCCATATTTTGTTACGATTAATATAACCATTAATAACCATTAATAACAACCATTAATAACCATTAATCACTATTGTTAATCATTATTCCTTAAGAACAACGAACTTCGCTCGGTGATCCCTTGCCGTTTGGAATATCGGTGACCACGGGGAGCGGACAACTCCCCTCCTCTCCCGCCTGGACTTCGCCTCGAAGAGGTCCGCCAAGTTGTCGTAGAAGCTGTTGCCCGCCTTCCATGGAAGTTGGTTTATAGATTTATAAACCCCATTATATAAGTATACTATATATACAACTTATATCCTCCATAAACATGGGAAAGATGGTGTTTTTGAAGGTTCACCTCTCTAGTTGTTGAAGAGTGGTTTCGAGTAACCAGGAAGCACAGTTGTGGACTTTGGAGGACCTCGCCACCCTTTGGGATGGCTTTGTCGGCAAGGATAACATCCTCCCCATTCTTTGACCATGAATTGGGTGGATAAATCCACCATTCTCGGACAAAGGCCCATCATTTTGTCCCACTGGTTCCCAATAAAGTGATTGGTTTAATGCCCATTCTGGTCAGCTTAGTCCGGTAGTTGATCAAAAGTGTCCCGGTAGTAACTTCCCCATTGACCAAGAATTGGGGGTGACTGCCCGAATTAGCCGTTTTACAGTCAAGTACTCCCAGCATATCCAAGGTTTTGCCAGAATTTTGGGAATCCAATTCCAGTTTAGACCTATATAAAGTTTTTGGTTTGATGCCATCATATCCCTTTATATCAATATTTGTCGTAGCTCAAGGTAATTCCATGCTATCCCACTATCTCCCCATTTTTTGTAGATTAACAATCTGTATCTCCATTTCCATCCCAGAATATCCTATAATTATCTCCCATTCTATCCCCACAAAGTTTCAGATCACCACTTTCCCATGGAAATCCCCATGCTTTCTGGGTGACATCCCCATCCCTAGAAAAATCCACCAAGGACCACCAGTTGCCACCTCCACGCATTGGAAGAAGATGTCCGGACCCTGTGAGGTGCCCTGCACGTGGGGATGGCGTGGGTTCATGGCCAGGTCGTGGTGCTCCTTCACGGCGTCCCAGTTGATGAACCTCGGTGATTGATTTCCGGTGATTTCCCGTTGGAGCGGTAGGGTTCATAAATATGAAAAAGGCTGATGTTTATGGGAGAATTCCAGTGGTTTTTGTTTGGAACCTTACCCAGTCAACTAATATATAGTAACCCTCAGAAATAGCTAAGGCTTGGGTTTAATTGGTATAGAGTTCCATATTCATGCATTAATGACCATCCTCGAATATGGGTATATATAATATCATGTCGTCCAACTTTTGACCATGGCAAACTGGGTGAATCAGCTAAGGTTTACCAGTATCAACAGGGTTGGTGACTGTTGATGAACTAATGGTTTTTTGTTGGTTGTCGGACAATGAGTGGCTGCTGAAACTGGTCAAAATCAATCAAACCATGTTTTTGCCGGAACATGCTGATATGGCTAGTTTTTGGAGGTTCTTAAATATTTAGTGACACAGTGACACATCAAATGTTTGTCCTTTCGCTTTTCCTGATATTGGCCCGGTTTATCCATAAGTCTTCACACTGGAGGGATCTGATATTTGGAGACCACATTACTTGTGCATATCTTCCAAGGCACGTATGCGTACGTACGTTACTAATGTCCAACTATGCTGTCACTGGAAGCTCACCTTGATCACAATCTTTGGCCATTCGCCCGACTCTGTGGCTGAGAATGGCAACGCTTGTTGCAGCATACTCAACCCTGATCAACACAAGAAATCAAGCTGGATAAGGGAAAGTGCCAAAGCCAACCCTTCATTAATCTCCAGTGTTGATCTCATACAACCTTACTGTCCACTCTTAACATTGCTATATTTGGTCAATCTCCAGGCCTTTTTCAGATCCTTGGCTGATTTTTCTGCACCAAGTGACTGTTTCATGGTGTTGTAGTCAATGAGTTTCACCTTGTTCACCTGTGCACATGGCGGGTCAGAAAAAATGGATGGTTTGCACGTGGAAAACCAATTCACAGGATCCAACCAACCAAGAGTCACTGCTGAAAAAGTTCCCATCAACTTTGAAAAGGCTTGTAGTTTCTACCATAAAAACTTACCCATCAACCAGCTACATCAGCTAGCCTCACCACCCCGCCTCGTGACTGGTTCGGAAGCCATCGAAGAAGTGCTGCACGGGCACCCGGCGCTCCATGGAGACCAGGTGTGCCACCAACGCGTTGTACTGGACCATCTCTACGGACTCCGAGGCCAACATGCACCTGATGATCCATGGAACCTACCCTCTGGTAAACGTTAACATAACTATGGAAAATCCACCATTTTTTATGGGAAAATCCACTATAAATGGCCATTTTCAATAGCTATGTTAAATTACCAGAGGGTATAGAAAAATGGATAAAAAAATGGATCATGACCAAAAACCATAGAAAGCCACCACTTGAAGTCTGAATGGGCAACCTAATTAAGCAAAATGGATGAAAACTTGACATACCATTTAAGATGACAAATTATGAAGTGGAATTCTCAAGCGCAGCCTAGGTTTTGTTTAGAAAAGAATATCTGCACCTTATGAACCCTTCAAATGATGTGCCCATGTTGTAAATTCGCCATGTTCTGAATCAGGTAAATGGCCCAGTTGAACAGGGTGCTGTGAATTTCAAATTGGGTCTGCAAGTTCCCCGTCGGGCGCCTAAAAACGGAAAGGGCTGACTGATCATCACAATTACAGTGCATCCAACAGGTGTGAAATGTCATGCCCAGCTTCATTCTGAAGGTCCTGAAGGTAACTTTCTATCTTTAGGGCCGAACCCAATGATATCAGGCTTGCCTTACAAGCAGTTCTATCCAGATCGAAAAAAGCTCGAAACCACGAGAGTTGGTCCGCCACCCCAGGCACCAACCGGTGGAACGACAGGCCATGACATCTTGGTGATCCCCAAAGATCGACAAAGCTTGTCCAGCAAGTGCACGTGCAGCCACGTGCATCACCTGGAAATCCAGGGCTTGGACGCAGGGCACACGCAGGGGGCCATGGTCCATGACCTGCGGTGGCTCTGAGCTTTCGACGCATGGCAATAATTCACCAGCGATCTTGTACATGTTGGGAATCATCAACAGCAAGCCCTGACCTGAGCTGAATCCGAACCAGAAAAAAAAAAACTTGAAATATATCGCCTGGTGGCAACATTCCATCTTCTTATCTTGAAAATCAAGAAGTTGTAGATGTGCAGCTGAAACCTCTGAAATGATTTCGCCCAACATTGTGCGTAAAACCCTGCTGCTTCATTTTCCCATGAATACCTGGTAGTTCTTTGGGTATCCCCCCATCAACCTAGGGTCCCAAAGGACACCCTGCGAAACTGCGACCATCAATTCTTTGCCAGGTGAAAAGCATCCCTGACGCTTCGAGAAATATCCGCATGTGGCTTTTTAAGATCAGACATCCTCAACAATTAGTATTATCAATAACATCAATTATCCTTGAAACCTCTAAATAATCTGATATCAAAATTCATCTCTAGAAAAGTCACTCCGCCGCATTGTTGTCGGAATGTTACTCATATCTATCATCTCTCTCTGGACCTTGCATAGAGGAAATTGGCAAAATGCTAAGATGCTCTGGTTTCTGGGTGTCGACATCCGAACTTTGAGGAAATAGGCAGGATGACCTTGCTGGGTTTGATCATATATGTATTTATTATATTGGCCCAAGTGATCCATTATTTGGATCCTTTTGGGTTACATTATTGATCATATATAAATTCATATTATATAATCAATAATATATTATTATATATATTATTCATATGATATATAATAACATATTATATTATATAATAATATATAATAATATATTCATCCCCATCCATTTTTTGCCAAGTCGCTGGCTGTGAAGGTGGTGCTGAAGGCGCCTGCCTTCAAGGCTCCGTGCAAGGCTCCGGCGGCACCGGCTTCGCTTTGCATCTCGGTGACGCTCAGCTTCTGGCCGTAGCAATTGATGAGTCCTGGACGAAGGCTTCGAAGGGCTGGAAAGAAGGCTTGGAATATGTTGGAATTATGGATGATCATGGATGATATGGATGATCATGGATGATCATGGATGATATGGATGATATGGATGATATGGATGATCATGGAGTCCTGGAATCACTGGAATTGGTTGGAATATGTTGGAATGATGGATGTTTGATAAGGTAGGAACTAACTCAGACTGGAAGAACATATAGTAACTTGGTTGAATCATGAGTTTTTTTTTTTTTTCCGGAGGGAGAACGGTGATTTCAACAGGATTTAACCAGCCAACTCTGGCGTGCATAAAATCCCGAACTTCAATTGAATGTCCGTTTGACAGGTCCAGGAGCAAGGCTCCGAAGGGTCTGCAATGAGTGTCAAAACTCCTGGATGATTTTTACCAACAAAAGAATCCACTGATCCAAACAGAGTAAGTTACGTAAGTTCTCAGCACAGCCCATGCCATCAAAGCACCCCGGGCCTTGAGCAGACCACTCGTCCACCATTTCTCCCATTGGTGAGCTGGGTGTGATGGGATAAATGAAGGCGCAATCACTGAGGGCATAGGCCACATGTGCTGCTGCCTGCCAGGTTCAAAGCCAAGGGTTTTAATAGACCCAGTTTCAAGGGTTGCACCCATAATCACAGCAGTTTTCACAATGCAACTCTGAAACCAGCACCTGGTTCCCATCGATGCAAGCGATGGACCCTTCCGTGCATTGAATGACGTCAGTGTCGGCATTCCTTGGCTTCTCCATTTCCACCCTATGCTGATGCCTTTCTTCCACTCGGTAGTTTGGACTTCAATACTGTGCTCAAAAAATATTTTAGGCCAGCCCCAGTCTACTGGCATTCATTTCCGAAAGGCACTGCGATTGCCAATTGCAATCAATTTTTCTGAAACATTCAAACAAATCATCTGCGGCATTGGGTCTTCCGGCTTGGTCACCCCAACACCCAAAAGCACACGGTGTTTTCGTTGGTCCTACCATTTGGGGAAAAAGTAAATTGGGTAATCAAAAAATCCACTGGAAATCCCCTAGAGTCTTTAGGTCTTTATGGGAAAATCGTCAGCTAAACCCGCCACCCTTCGTCCAGTCACTGATGAACAATGGTTTTATTCTCGGCCGCGAACATGGCTCGCTGCACCTTGCCAGAACGGCTCGCGAATCTGGGGACGGATATAGTGACCGCAGCTTGTAAATTGGCTTGGGGACCACCACAGATTTAGACTATGTCTAGTCTGTCTAGTCCATTGGGGTACCCAAGTTTGAGCAACCTTTTTATAATCGTTTGATTGCTACTGAAAATTCAACCGACAATCACTAAAAATATCGTGCAGGCTTCATGAAGAGTTGTTCCTGAGGACATGAAAACAAATCTGCCACCAGTCAGACTAGATTTTCACGCCAATCATTAGAAAGCAAGGTTGAAACCCAACAGATTTGCCCACACTACCAGTTCTCAAGTGCTCCTGTATGACACAGGTCCCAATCACAATTCAATTCATAAAACACACTTTTGCGGTATTTTCAACGGAAACATCCTTGCCCTTCTTAATGACAGGCCATCCTTCTTCTCCCCACGTTGGCGCACCTCTTTAGCCTTCAAAAACTGTTCATACTCCACGTCTGCCGCACCACTGCCGGCACCCAGCGCTTCCAAACGCTCCTGGTTCTCGGTCTGACGGTCGGGATGGAGGAAACCTTGCAACAAGCCACCGTAGGGGCCAAATGGAGTGGTCCTCAGTGGCGAAATGTCCAAAACATGGGGCCAAACGTCAAGAAATGCACCAAACTTCTCGGATCATTTTCAAGATTTGGAACCATCATGAACCATCCATATTGGCTGGGTCAGTCTTTCACACCCATCCCAACCTCAACAAATACGTCATTTGAGGCCGCCACTGCCCGCGGATCGCCATTGTTTCTCGTTGCACAACGGGTCCAATGAACGAAGCTCGGGAAATCACCGGGACGCAACGCGTTGGTTTCAGAAAGGCTTCGGAAGTCAACGTTGAACATGTTGCCGTCAGAGAAAAATACGATGGGAGAAAACCCCCGGGGAACTCTAAGAAGAACCAAGAAATTAGATAGGTATCAGAAAAAAAAAATGAAAAATGCTTCGCAAACAAACCGCATACAGTGGATCATGGCCCAAGCATTGAAAGTTGCGCCGGACCAGCAGCCATGCAAGATGTCACATGATTTTATCATATCAATATCTGTGTTTGTAGGATGGACAAAAAGCCATTTGACAGTAAAACATCATCAAACTCATTGAAAGCTAGGTCCTTTGTGGGGCCTAGCTGCCCTTTCTTCTGGAACCCCTGTCTGGTCCGTCAGCGAGGCACATGATGATGCCACGTCTATGTGCGTGGCAAGTTGATATGACTTTTTGAAGCTCAGACGTGCGCTTTGACCTGTGTCGAATCTCTTTACGGCATATGAATCCATATGAATCCATATGAACCTGGCATGACAATCCCCCTGGGTGTTTTTGATCCATTTGTCGAAAATGCGAGTCATGAAGGTGAAATAATTGACAACACATCACACAATTTCAGATGTGTCGTCGACATTTTCTTCGTTTTGGACTGTCCCGCGATACAGTCTGTGTCATAGTGGTTTGATGTTTTGACATGGTATTCGGGTTCCAGTGTCAATTTCATCCGAATATATCAAGATTTGACTCCAGATCAGCGCAACACGAAGCTTCCAGAATTTCATGAAAATTTCATCCCTCAGACAGGTGTTTCTCCAAAATCAGAGGCCCCAAAACGCAAATGGGTTTTCTTGTGGAGAACCATAAAATGATGGAGACATGCATGCATCATAGCATATATGTTGCATTCAAAATCATTGACAGTAAAATGCACATACATCACATTATATTGTATATATATATATTATTATGTGAATTATGTGTGTATATATATATATTAAACTATGCATATATTAAATTAAATCTCTCTCCATTGTGCATATGTAAATGTACATATATATATATACCTTCGCTCATGTATGCATTATTGCATGCATAAGCATATATAATATAGTAAATGCACACATACATGTAGACACATACATTTTTTTAATACAGTATGTATGTATATATATATACACAATATAATATATATATATATATATATTATGTATATGTTGAGACACTACATGTTGAGCTCCTGGATTTCGAGAGACACCAAGAGATGTGTCTAAACGCAGAAGGGTCCAGCTTCGGTTCAAGCCACATGTTGCTGCTTGACTTTTGGTGCTTGAAAAAAAAGACGTCAGCCTTATCCAACCTAGAATCAGCACTAATGATCAGGATTCCCAAATTTGTTTGAAGAAACTTTGAAACCGTGGCCGTATATTGGGGGGTCCAAAGCCATGTTTTTTTCTTGAAACGTTCTCTTAATTCTCTTAAAAACCAATCTATTGAATCTTCGTGTATGTTCACATTCTGTCCCCATTATATCACAATTATATCACCATCAATAATATGGGTATGTATATATTATAGATTGCCATCATTGTAGGTAAATGGCCCCCAAAAAAGTAGATTCAAGATACGGGATTCCAAACCAGCTCGGAAGATATTTGGTCCTAGTTGATGCTTGGGTTATGACACCGTTGAACTTTTTGTGTGATATACTATGGTCTAATCAAATCACAAACCATGATTGCACCATGCCTTGCCTTTAGTTTAGGGATCGAATGGTTTCATGAATATTCAGGGATCAGCCTGGTCCCGGCAACATTCCTTGTAAACATTCGATTGATGTCAAACGAGGCCCAAAATGGGGCCGCAGGGGCAGCATGCAGTGAAGGGGGCGCCACAGCCGGCGCCTAGCTCTTGTCTAGCTCAGCAAGAATCCAAAATTCCCAGTGCATGGGCTGCTGTACTGCATGGACCTGCTTTCAATAGACTTATGGAAACATATTGAAACAACATTTACAAGAAGCAACATATTTTGAGCATCAAAATTTAAGGAGGGCTGCCGGTAAATGGTCCATTTAGTTCGGCCCAATTCTTGGATGCTTCTCCCAGTTTACGTGTCGACCATGCACGAGTGTAGATTCACCGGCTGCAAAACCAGGGCGCGCCCGCGGAAGGGACCCTCTAATGATTTCCAGGGGTCAGGGGTGATAAAATTTAAGGACAGCGACTGCGGAAAAATCAGTGTGAATGACCAAAATCAACAACTTTCACACCATGTTGGCGTATGTACGTGTATATACAGCGTACTTGGACTCTTCAAGTACACTTGAAAATGGGCGAAAGTTTCAAAATCGTAGGCTTAGATTACCCAATTTCGAATCATTTCTGGGTACTTGGAGGGTCCAGGTATATCACTTATGATCCTAGATGTATATTGTGGGTGAATGATTATCGTGTTTAAAAAACTGGGCATGCCAGCCTCGCACACTCTTCAGTAAAGCTACCGTCATTTCATTCTGGGACTCAATGATCCAAAGTCTAGTTACTAGTTGGAAATCTAAAGTCAAATCGGGCTGCGTCAGGTAATCCTGGTTATACTTTAATGTGCGAAATCCAATGCCATAAAGCTACGATTTTGGGATGGCTGTAATTCCACCCATCTGTACTGTGGTGATTTGGGAAATTATTGTATGTTAGGAAGGGATTACCACATTAGAATCATTCAAACATATTTTTATCATTTTGATCACATACAGGTTTTCTCCAGTGTAATGTTTACTAGTCGGGGGAAGGGATTGCGTGTGAAGGAATGCTGCAAGCCCTATCAAACGTATCGATTCAATTGGAAGCATTTGTAACATGATAATGATTGACAATAAAGCACATCAAAAGAAGGATGATTGCCCTTTGCTAGTTTATTATACCTATGGAAAATCACAATATTTGTGTGTATATATATATATAGTATAATGATCTATTATAAATCGTCTATCATATGATATCATATGCCATGGCTTCAATAGCTGTGGGACAAATTACCAAAAGGTAAACGATGAACCCATCACCTCTCTAAACTCAACGCTTTGCCTATCATCTGTTGTCACCATCCTCACCCCTGGTCCTAAGCCGCCGCTTTCAACGAAAGAGGCGGCAACCCGCCCACACGCGCGGATTTCTTTTCCTCAGCCGGGCGTCAAAAAACGCCGCGGCCTGCAAGGATCAGCAAAGATTTCCACGCAGACTTAATTTGGGGATGATCTCCTTATGCTTTCTGTTGCCTTGAAAGTCAGCATGGTTGGTGCTGGTTACATATTACATAGGCAAGCTTTTCCCCGTGAACTGTACCACGGCCATACTGGGCAATCAGGGTTGTGGCTTTACACCTTTTTGCAATTCGACTGATAAACATGTCTGTCTGCAGAGTCTGCGGCATAAATTCCCAACATTCACCTCCAAGAAAGGTCCCGCCCGGCAATAATCTCTATGTGTATCCAACATAAATCGAACAGTTACCCCCCTTACTAACCAACTTACCCATTAAAGATATTCAAACATTCACTACAAATCAACTTTGCGGGTAAACTCCCAAGATCACGCAGGCATTGGTGGATAAACCATGATAAACCTATCATTTCAGGATATTTCGGGGTCCGTTCCGTTACTTTCAACTAGATAACTAGAGCATCTCTCTACCAGCACAAAAGGAGGTCATCGCGCAGGGCGTAAAACGCCGCGCTTTGTCAAGTTTCGGCGCCAAATGTCGCGCCACTGGGACACTGAAATCCTTGACACTGTGTTTCTTCGAACGAGGGTCTCGTATTTTGCCAGCAGAATTTGGGGTTCAACTACAACTGGATTTCACAACAAGAATCCACTTGTGGGGAATTTCAAGCAGCAGAACTGGGACTTCAAATAGCAAACAAGCACTAAGGGATATATATATATATACTCGAAATAGATCAGATTTCTGCCAGCGACAATGAGGACAGCATTGGTTTAGGGAACACTTGTAGGATCATTGTAGGCCCTGATCGAAGAGTCAATGACAATAATTACATTACATTACATTACAATAATCTGTCTACGCAGTCTACGCGGGGATTCACTTTGGTTGTTTTTTGGAACCTGAGCACAAGAAACCCTAGATCAATATGTGTGCAGGCAAATGGCAACCGGAGAGTATAGTTAATGGCAACCTGCTTGAGCAATGTCGTTCGGGCTATTGTTTGGCCACATCTAATTACTCAAGAAATCCCAAAGAAAACTGACAGTAGTTTTCGTAAATCTGTCTATACATCTGGATATCATTGCATGGTTTTATATGAGCAAAGTTTTTCAGAACATGTCCTGATGATTTTCGCAGGTGCCCAGTCTGAAAAGTGTTGTTTCCAGCGATGGCGGTCAAGAATACTGGCGTCCAAAACAGTTTCTGGGAAGCTGGTTCCTTTAAAGATCGCTTAAGAATGCCTGAACTTTGGATATTGATCCTAATTGTCATGCATATTCTATTGTAGAAAGCACATCTTCTGTCCACATTGTAGAAACCAAGCTATCATAGTGAATTGACCCATACCCATTAGTTTCATAAAAATCCAATATCCAAGTCAACAAACATTGGATACCTTCTGCTACTTTAAAATAGCCATGGAACAAATACCCATGTGAGATGATTTTTCAACATGGCTGTGTTAGATTTTAACAAGAGGGTATGACACTGTAGCTGCAGCATTTAATACCCTCCAGTTCAAAAGGAATTAAACAATGCCTTTTAATGGAACACCCGAGGTTATTAACTTACGAGGATGGTGCAGTCTTTACACCTTCCTTTTTTTGTGATCCAATTTCATTATCTCGGGATGCTTTTTGATGTGAAGGTTTGCCCTGAAACAGCCCTGAAAGTATAGTAGTTGTTTTATTTGGTTCTTGGATTCTCAAGAAATGTCATAACCCTGAACCTGATGTTCAGTTTGATTCTCCTTTTTTTGTCATTCTTCGTTTACACCTGCGAATTTTTCCGAGAAAAAATATGCGCAGCTTGCGATGTCAGCCTGGATTCTTGACCAGATCGATTCACCTCCGCCTCGCGATCACCTGGGGAAACCCACGCTGAGGT